CAGTTCAAATGTCCAAAAGTGCGATACTATCGCTCCAAACGATCAATCACACATCCTATACGGACATTTTGACATATAATCACTTATCAGTAAGAATATATTATTATTGTCCCTTACATGACTCAGTGGGTTGGAAATACGTATTACCTTTTAAGAGAAATACACGCATTACTAAAAGCGTAAACGATATGTACCAGATTGTAAAAAATTATGTAATGGATGAACATACATTATAACTTTATTAGACCTGCGTACATACCTAACCTGTTGGTGTTGGTGTGTGTGTGTATCTTCCAGTTGTTTTGTTAATCCACTTTCGGTAAATTGCTTGGATTAACCAGAATCACTGTTTACTCTACTGGAATATTTGACGCACGGAGATAAAAACCTATTTGACTAATTTATTCGGTTGTTTTTGTATATCCTATATACGTTTATTTTGAGAAAGGCAAACATCTATAGTGGACGTCATTCTATGTTTAATATACATACAAAATGCAGTGCGGTAGTTTCCAAAATTGTTTCATTGTTTTAGGAATTAGTAATCATTCCCCTGCGGAAATACCTATTTTAAAAGGTGAAGCAGTATTTTAACCGTCATTGGGGGTTCAAGTAGCTAGAGAAACTACGGAAATCTCCACTGTCCGACAGCTCATTTGGTACAGTTTTAGGGTATGTTCATAGTGAAGATCCTTACTGCGATGCTTTCTTCGCTGCCACGATGACCGCTTCCTCGATCTGACCGCGATGTAAAACAAATACATGTTTTAAGTTGGGAGCGTTCATGGCGGCGATGCATTCTGCGCCGCTTCCTTCGCTTCCTCGCGGTCGACCGCGCTGAAGAACAAATATTTTGTTTTTACCTGGCTGTCAGGAGAGAAACATTGAGGTGGGCTTAGCTGTGATTGGTTCCTCAGCAAGAATTGGATTACTGTGCAAGTTGGTGTACCAGCAGAGGCTCAACTTTGTCGAGTATGTAACCAAATGTATCTGTCGACATTCTCATGTAGGTGTGGAATCTTTCCTTGTCTCTCCTCAATTCGAGGAAAAGATTGTGGAACTCTCCAAGTTCCTGACTCGCTTTGTTTATTAGATGTGTACTGTATTTTTTACTTGGTAGAGAACTGAACATCCACCACTTGTTTACTAGAGACAAATCACTCTCACTGTCACTGTCGCTCGACAACATCCTGCCTTATTATTTGCTCGTGTACCAAAGAGACATTAAGAACCGCGTTCGAGGAGAGAAGAAAAAACATCGTGGGTGAATTCAGTATGAACACCCTCCATCCATGTAGAAAGTCGCGAGGAAGCGTTCATCGAGGTAGCGAAGAAAGCATCAATCACAGTAAGCATCTTTCACTATGTACGTTCCCTTAGGCTAAATCGAATAAAACCTATAAATATCCAATCCAATTAAAACCCTTACCTTTCGCTAAAATAAGCATACTTGCCGTGATGCCGCCAATCAGTTGCGTTTACAACTATACACCTCTCGGACTGTTTACGAGCTTTTCTTTTGGTGAATGTCACTCGATCAATATTTACTGGGGTGTGTATTTACATATCATTCCGTCAGTGCCAGTGGATTTCCACGTAACCATATACGAGAGTTGATCAAGAATAAGATTCCGCTCCAGCCACACTGGAAGGCGTGTGGCGAACTCCGGCAACATCGCTGCGCGCGACTGTTCCCCCACTGTCGATTCCCCATGCCTTTGCTCAGCAGCCGTCCGATATGTAGATTGCCACTGTTGATGCCGCCAAGTGCGAGATGCGCTCCACAATTCATTTTCTGCCCGCCAAAGGAACTTCAACTCGTCAGTTGACAGAGGTGTAGTCCCCAACGCGAAGTGGAACAGGAGGACCACCGTCCGTGAACTCCTAGGAATCTGAGCAACAAGTTCGCGGACGGTGAGGCTTCTGTTTTGAAGCATTTCGCAGTTGGAAGTCGCGCGCTGCGGTGTTGCCGGATTTCGCCCCGCACCTTCCAGTGTGGCTGCGACTCTTCGGGAATCTTATTTCTGGATCATGCCTCGTACATCAGTAACAACTGATTTTCTGTCTACACGGTCAATAGATATCAAATTCTATGATAAATACTGATGGATCATAGTAGATTCTGATCGTGTGGCATTCTGCTTTCCCTTGGTAAGTTCTGAAAATACTAATCATTACGAGAGAGGTTGCGTGTGATCTTTGCCTGGGAGGTTGATGTTATATTCATAAGTAACATCATAAGGGCATTTAATTTTTCCGAAAAAAACTAGAAAAAACACGTTGGTAAGTAATATTTTAACAAGAAGAATGAGTGCAGGTGGCAACAAAAAACCGAGTCGAAACGAGGAGTTTTGCTTGTGCACGAATGTTTTTTGTTAAATAAATATTTCTTTGCATTATTTTTTTCCGATTTTTTTTTTACAGGAAAAAATTAGATGCCCTAATGGTATTTGACAAGACTGTTTCATAAATAACAGATTATCTGGTGTCCTAGGAGGCCAACATTTTTGTTATCAAATGTATTGAAATTTTTGGGGACAACAGCTGTCAAGTTTTCCCGCGGGTAAACTCGAAAAAACTGCTGGCAGGTCCGGTCATACAATTTTTCCATCTAGAAACCATTTGTAACAATGGGAACTGGATGTGAAAATCCAAATGCTGCATAGGATTGGACGACTTATTGAATCCATGTGAAAAGCGTTCTCTCCTATTGCTGTACAGAGTATTGCGTTAATTCCCGGCTAAATCATTTTGCCCTGCCACCTTGCCAGTTTGGTGCAACCTGTCACCTGCAGTATTCATCGCATAAATGGTGATTTTACTCCTTACACCCTAACTTTCGCTGTACAGACGAGCTTCATTGTGAGCAAAACAACGTCGGTATTTCTAACAGTGCTACCAAAAATGTTAAATGGCAACATTTTTCGACTGACTGAGTCATCACAAAGCACTACTTTTTAAAAAGGTCTACATCACTTAGCAAGCTGAAATTCGAGGCAATGAGAAAGCGGCAGTTGGAAACTTCAAAACGACAGGTAATCGTGATCTTAGAACATTTTTGTTAAGTGGAATGAGGGGTCATGTGACAAATCATTTTGAGGGTATTTATGAATAGTTTATTGCCCTTGATTATAAAGTCACTCACTTGCAGATTGTCAGATTTGAGTGTTTTTGTACATTATTATATTGCAACTTAACAACCAACCATCACTTCACAATGTATTTATTATCAATCAATGTACTTTTCTTTAGAAGATATACCCAAATGAATTGTGGAACATTCACAAAAAAAATAACAATCTTTCAATTATTTTCAAACACAAATTTCCCATTTTATTGCACACTTAGATGGATCCTCGTAAAAAAGACACCTTAGAACGCTTTAGTTCGTCACTTTGACAGTAAATTTATATGCTAGGATTATAGTCTACAGATCTACAGATAAAACTGTTATTTATAGGTCAAAATATAGTGTCCATTCATCAGTTTCGTCGCCCCCAAAAATTCGGAGGGTTGTTTTTTCAAAATAACTGTATAAAAACATAAAAATGCATTTTCATTTTCACCACTTGTTTAGTTTATGCGTTTGAACTAAGAAATTATAACTATCAAAATATTGGTCTTAGTATTCTTCAAAGCATCAGATACTTCATTTAAAGTAACAAAATATAATCAATATTCTCGCAAAAACATAATGTGACTAACGGTAAGCTGTCACTGCCTCTCCCGAGGCTTTTTGTCTAACTTTAGAACGGGAGATTTTCACATCATCATATATTATATAGGTTCAAATAAATGGAATGTATAATAAATAATAATGTAAGCTATTGATTAGAACCTGTTCGTGTTGCTTTTCATAGTAGAACGGCCGCTCCTCGATTACAATAGTATGTATGACACAAAAGCGAAATGCTGATACTGGGGACAAAAGATGTTGACAATTCTGGCTGAAAGGAAACTCAGATAACCGCTAGTAGTTTACATTTCGAGCTTAGCATCTGTTACATCGTATCGATTGCTGGAAACATCGCTTCCTGTTTCTTGTATTGTAGTATGATACTTTTTTCATACATTTTGTAGTTGTAACACCATTGTTGTCTTGTACAGGTATTGCTAACTTTGATAATGTATCTAAAGACTATCTTCTAAGCATTCTGTTGCCAAAAGTTTATATACTTTTCAGAGCGTTCCCCCTTCCCCAGTATCCCCCTATAGCCCCAGGGTACCTCATGGGTGTTTAGGCCTTAGGCCTTCGTGGTGGTTGGAGTATAAAAAAATCTGGTTTTAACTTTCCACCCCAACTGAAGTATTTTTATTGCGACAAATTTCTAAAATTAGATGTTTTTTAAATACTATATGATGTATAGGTATATCTCGATAAACCAAGTCACTCATTTCCGTCGACCTGTAACTTGAAAAGTACCGATCGGATTTCTATAAAATTTTGACGCAATATTACAACTATGCCAAGGACGAAAAAGCTTTGTAGTTTTTGAAAATCGATACAGTGGCGGCGGAAGCTACATGCAAAGATGGAAAACATAATAATTTCGTTTTTTGACTTTTCAGATACTCCTGATCGTTTTCAGAGAATTTTTTAGACGCATTAAATATAGTGTTTTGGGAATTGTAGGGAGTGGGGCACATCTTTGGCGTTAGCATATGTAAACGCTTCCAACCTACATAAAACAATTGGTGGGTGGCGAGAGGTGAGGTGAATCATAGCAACGTTGCCCGATAGCCGGTACTGTCGGTAGGGCAGGGGAGACATTTCTATACCGCAACGATATCAAATGGGTCAATGGGGATTACGGACCAATTTTATGAGCATGTTTGACTCATCTGATCTATGTAATTTATTTTGGGTTCGTAGCAAACTTTTTTTCTCAAACTTGTACCGAACATAAATGATTATTTATGATGCCTGCGTTACGTCAAAACGACCGTGTAAACCTAGTTGACGAAAATACGTGCCTTTATTGAACGACCGGAAAATGAAATTAGTCTTATAGATCTTATGTTATTTTTACTAAACTTTCAACATTCAAATTAAAAATAGTGTAAGGACATGAGAGACTTTCACGTCTATTTTTTTTTTCAATAATTTACATGTCTGTCGTTGCAGGCTCTTCTATACCTGATAATGCTCCTAGACCCGATAGTAAAGGGCGACTATGTAATTGCCTACTTCCACACATTGACTTCAAGTAGCAACTATCCTTCCTTCTCCTGGCTAAAAGAAGTTTACAATGTTTTACCATATAAGTACAAGAAGAACCTGAAAGCTTTTTATATAGTACATCCTACGTTTTGGACGAAGGTGAGTAAATTCAAATAATAATTACCTATACTAAAACTTTATTATTTGTCAAATACATATATCGCATGCCGAGCTGAGCTTTACTTAATAACTTTATCTATAATGATGAATATTAATTCATCATTTTTAGTCTAACCCGCTTATTTATTAACCATATTTTGCCAATAACAGAACAAAAAAAAAAGATTTTTATTTTTAAATGTGTGTCCACCTCCTTTGTACTTTGCTATTTGATATTCGCCCCGTCTATATTTGTCGTTTATGGGTGTGCTTGTAATTACCATTATTATTTTTATTTCCTATATGATTTTTATACTATACGAGGTCTGTAAATTAAGTGATGAGACTCGCAACCTAGCGTTCGATCTGGTAACACCGGAGGCTCCGGGCTTGGAGGGCAACAGGGGAACATGTGATTCGCCTTCAGTACAAGTTTGAACTCGCTCGAATAATTTGGTTGTCTGTAACGATTTCTTCAAACAGTTTTTTCTATTATGTTCTGAAAATAACCGGAAGGCCTTTATCTTCAAGAACCGATGAAAATATCCACAGAATCCGGGAAGTTGTGCATTCAGTTCGTAGGCTAACGGTCAGAATGATCGGGGAGTCTTGACTCGTACCACCGTTCGTCTGAACAAGAACAACGTCAATAAACGAGTTTTTGGCTAGTAAAACATTTCTGTGGCTCCTCAGCCTCCTTGTCAGATTTTTCTCTTCCGGAAGTTGAAATATCGTCTCAAGGGAACTTATTTTGGGTCAGTCGAAAATATTCAAACGACTGTAACCCACCAGCTAAAGGCTACTCCAGTATCGGAGTTCCCGCGCTACTATGAGGAGCTGAAGAATCGTCTCCAGCGCTGTGTTTCTTCAGAAGACAATATAAAATTGGAATTATATTTGAATAAACAAAATTTAAAAAAATCAGTCTCATCGCTTAATTTACATATTTGTATTGTTATTTCGACTTATCATTTATTACCTTGTGCATCTATCCATTTAGCAATCATATTTTGGTATGAACTGGAGAGCTCTAAACATATGTTTTAGGAGCCACGAGGACTGCCTAAAACATGATTTCGCTTTTTCTCTGGCAGCAGTTCTGAAGTGGAAAAACATCCCTCTAGACAAATCTTGGAAATACTCTAATAGAGGTGACAAACGTTGACCTACTATAGAAGTTTTAGCCACTACCGGGATAAAACTTTAAGCCTTGCGGTTGTCACATTTTTCAAGTTAGAACTAAAGACAGAAATAAGATCATTTTATACTCGTTACAGTGCCAAGAGGAATTAGATGTTTCATAATTATTATTATTATTCAGCCACTAAAAGAAACGATAAAAAACTCTTTACATAAGAGATTTAAAATAATGGATTACCGTAAAAAGGGATAGTTATTTCTTTCTAGTCAAAGCTATATATGATTACTTATATATTAAACTACATTATTTACGAGTACGTTAGATATATTAACGTTTGTTATGAATATAAAGCCAAAAAAACAGAAATAATGACAGTTAGAAGTCACAACGTACCCAACTCCGGCCAATAATACTTGAATAAGTTAACCAGTTCGGTTAGTCTTCCTACTTGGAATGACGCCGTTTTTGGTCAAGGCCTCTCAAGTTTTTTCTCTCCTCTAAGAAGACAAAGATTATGTTCATTTTTCTTTTCTATGTTATAAATGTTTGTCCACTTTCAGTGCCGTGTATTCTGTGATCAGATACCAGTATATTTTTTCATGTCATTTGTGTGTGTTCTTGTTATACACCATTTCAAATTTCATATATTTTTTGTTATGTTTAGATTTGATCAGTGATGACCAATAATGCTATCTATGAGTCTAACTATCTCTATATTTGTTCATGAGTGCATGTGGTTTTAAAACGGACGAATCGATTTGATTGTCTTTTCTTTATTGATGTTTGACCAGAAATGTTCAACCATTTAAAAAGGAGAGGTGGTGGCTTTTTAATTTTCATTCTATTGTCTTATAGATGATGACATGGTGGTTCACAACGTTTATGGCACCGGCAATTAAACAAAAAGTGCACAGCTTACCAGGTGTCGAGTACCTTTACACCGTGATGTCTCCAGATCAACTAGAAATACCCGCCTTCATAACTGAATATGACATGACTGTAAGTATAGCTTCTAAGCTGCCATAAAAAGTTTCTTCTTGCATGACATTAGTACAGTGAATTTGTCGATAAGATCTATTAGAGAAATGAAGCCTAAATCTGGAATATTTAGTAGATTACGGAAAACCAAAACGTTAATCATGCGGCCGCACTACAGAACGTATTTTTCTTGAAAAAAAAAATAATATGGCGGGGTCTGAAAGCATCTGATTGCACAACTAACAACTATATTTTTGGAGCATAATTTTTTTCTGAATGTATGTGAACAGAATATCAATTTTTTGCTGAGCTCAATATTGGACAAAACGATTCTTTTCCAGTTGTAGGCGGCAAATAAAGTCGTTGTGTCAAGTTGTGTTGTGACTTTCAAAAAGTCTACCAGTTTTTTGACAAGGTTAAGTTTGCAAGATAAAATTCGTGTTAATGAAATTAATGCATGTAGAACAAATTTTAGCGTCAAATTTGCAGTTGAAAATTTCAAGATAGCGGCTGCTCTCTGTTCTGGAACATTCTTTTAATGGAATTATTATTTACACAATCAAATAAATTTGCGAATAAATTGATGAATTCCCTCAAGGTTTCGAGCGAAATTGCACGATCAAATTAATTCAACTCAAGCATACCAACACATATAGCAACTTTCTCTGATACCGACTTCAAGGAAAAATACCAAAACGTAACCTATGTGTTTAATGAACCTAACCAATAAGAAGATGACGGAATACTTACATACTGATTGTTTCTGTTGTAAATATTGAATCCTAAATTAAAATAAAAAGTACCAAGCCAAACTGTGAAGATTATAATTTTAATCTTAAATCAGACGTGGACGCCATAAATAACGAGGGTTGGTATCTAGAAAAAAGAACCAAAAGTAACTAGAATTCCCGAAAAAATTGACGCAAAATTAAAACAAGCTCTACTCTGGCAATTTATTAATGAATTTATTGTTGCGAATAAATTGACATTGATACAAGATGGTGCTTTTTTGATCTAGAGTTTTAAAGTACTCATAAGAAGCTTCAAAATGAGGTGTCACAGGACCCCCATTCAATTGAAAAAATGATCCAAAATGGCGCCCAGCCGCCACCTTCACATTTTTAACTGCCACTTTCACGCTACAATGTAGTTTTAATGGAATCATTTCACTACCCTAAATTTCAGCTTGCTAACTTGCCGGTTCAAAGAATAAACACTGTATAATCGACACATAATTTCTCCGATTGGATAACGTTTATGTTAACAACGTGTTTTTTTGCTAATCTGCGGGAAACCTCATTAAACACGATTTAATTTTTTATAAAGCCCATTTAAAAACGTCTGCCAGAAGTTCAACCTACGCAGCACGAATAAAGTTCACAGAATATTGTGCATGTTCTGTGCACCGGATTAGTATACTATAGTAGTAATTTATAAAAGTGTTCTGAGTCATCACAAGACAGAACAGCAGCCCCGTTGTGGTGTTGTTTGTTGTTATTAGTTGATGGTCATACTTAAGTTGAATTATTTTATTTTGAAAACTTCCCACCACGGATTTATCGAAAACCACTGATTAAAAGAAAAAACGCCGAGTCACGTCAACAGATTTGTCAAGGGGGACAACTTTTTAACCAAAAACTACTTCACCCCCTTTCACCCTCTGGCTCCAAGGATAATCCCCTTAACAATGTTAAATGACAGTGGGTATCGAGTAACAGCTTGTTTGAAAGATTTTTCAAAGTCCTTTATTTTGACGTTTGATTTTTTAAAATCGGTCGATTCGTTCTCAAGAAATTTAGAAAAATCTCTATTTATCTTAATTTGTTCGGATAGAAAACAAAAACACGAAAATATCACTTTTTATTTCAATAAGTGTTCAAAATGTTGCTCGTTATTGGTCAAACAAAAATATAGGCGATGTTCAAATTTCTGATGGGCATTTTCAAAAACATGTTGTGTGCTCATAGCAGCTTTCGATTATGCGTTTACGACGTTCATCCAGACTTTCCCTATCCATTTATCTGGAAACTCGTCGTCTAGCCATTGTCTAACGGGAAGAACATAGTGAGGAAGAGCGCCGTCTTGCTGTAAATATATTTCAGCCTCATCAAGTATAGGATTTCCATCCTCTTCGATTTGTTTTTCAATGGTTTCAGTGATAAACGGATGGGTGATATTTTCCAACATATCCAAATAAATAAATAAAAAATAAATAAACAATGGGTCCAATCACTTCCTAAAATGCCTGCTCATACATTAATTTTTTGGGAGTACTGAGTATGCCCTTCTACAAAAGCATGATGATTTTCATTGCTCCAATTCCTTATTAACAAATCCATTCAGATAAAATTATCACTAATCGCTGCAGTCATTTGTCCACAAAACTCAACTCGCCTATCGAAATCATCTTCGGTTAACTCCTGCAATATTTTCATGTTGAATGTATGACATTTATGGAGTTAAGTAACTGTGTGTACAGAGCCTAATAAAGTACCAGTCGCAATGTAGTGAACTATTAGGACTCATTCCAAAATGATCCAAAACTTCAACTTGAGCGGCATCATCCAAAACTCTTCGATGATCATGTTTTTTTTTTATTTGCAACAGATCCAGTTTGAGTAAATTTAGTAACAAGGTCCAAAACATACCTATGTGAAGATATCTTCCCCGGATGTCTGGCGTTAAACGTGACGGCAGTTTGCCGAGTACATTGATTTTGGGCACCACAAATTAGATTCATTTCCACTATTTCGGCTAGTAAAATCTGAATCAATAAATTAATTTTCATTATTACAAGAATGTCACAAAGGTAACTGACAGCAAATTAAATTCTTTCTTTCCCTTAGCAACAAATATCTAAACAGGTGTAATAATAAATACAGTTTGCCCAGGATATCTGTGTTGATGAAAAATATGCGGAAAAAAAATCGGGCTGTTATTTGGTTGTTGCCACGTCTATGTTGGTAGTTTCCGTTTTAAATTATAAACGAATTGTATATTTGGCAAACTCTAACGGGCAACATTTTGAACACTTATTGAAATAAAAAGTGATATTTTCGTGTGTTTATAAAAATTAAGATAAATAAAGATTTTTCTAATTTTCTCGAAAACGAATCGACTAATTATAAAAAACAAACGTCATAATACATCACTTCGGGAGACCTTTCAAACAAGTAATTACTCGATACCCCTTGTCATTTAAAATTTTAAAGGGAATGACCCGGGGGGCCGAGGGTGAAAGGGGTGAAGTAGTTTTTGGTTAAAAGGTTGTCCCCCTTGACAAATCTTTTGATGTGTCTCGGCGTTTTTTTGTAATCAGTGGTTTTCGATAAATCCGTGGTGGGAAGTTTTCAAATGAAAGAAATCAATATCACTCTTAGCAGAAATGTATACCCCGCTCTGCTACTTGTTGCCGAGGTATTAATATTAGTCATTTGCCTCAAAACACTTATACATTCACGGTATAGGTATTTTTCAGTACTCATTGACAGATTTCAGTATATTATACGTATTTGTGACAATTAAGCAGCTGTTACAGCATGTTACGCTAGGGCCGTATTTTTTAAATCTGTGAAAAGTAACACCGTTGTCATTCCGACGTTGAAAACTTGTAGTACATGCAATTAGACAAGATATTGTAGAAATATTTATAAAATTCATCGTATAAAATATTATATTTCATATTTAAACGAGTTTAGATAATATATTTATGATGAAAGTAAAAGACTGTTACTGCACGGATGCTATATAAAATAAAAATACAGTAATTTTTGCATAAATCATCTTATGAGAGGTAACTTAACGTTCTGAGGCGTATCTCCGTTCTTTTGGTCGGTGGGTCAATTCGTATCCGTACCAAAATTGTTTTCTTATTTTGTTTCTCTTTTCAGTTATATTATTCTAACCTATTCCAAAATCAGCTCGAGTTAATATTTCTTAGTTATGTTTTATTCATGTCTGCAATAATGCAAGGCATAGATCGTAAATACCTACAGGGCACTGATCATTAGCTTTACTAATTTTCAGTCCATACTCCCTATGTTTTGAGTAACATCATGTTTCTCAGGCGACTTTTTTGCAAAAGCCAGATCCACTCTGTTTTCAAAAAGATCTTGTAGTCCACAATTTAGCAAATGTTAGTACAAACTGATATTGGAATAGGTCAGAGTAAAAGAAACCACTATTATGTGAAAACTGAAATAAAAAAAGAAAAAAGTTTGCTACGAATCGCGATTTGAAACTCCGACTAAGATGCCGATAGGAGTGCATGCTTTTTGCTTTTTGTGTCCTTATATATATCCCAAGGACCAAACTTTATAAACTAATAATATGAGGTGAAAAAATTGTAAACTGTTCAATCGTTCAAACACTGCCCTCGTAGTACTTTGCTCATGTTTTGCTTTAGGTATATTGTTTAGCCCTTGAGTAAGAAAATATAGCGAGATTTTATTGAATTTGCCACAGTCTCTCGGTCCATTGTGAGTATAAGAAGCTTTTAGAGTCGATATGATAAAGGTTATAATTAGCGTTGATTTTTTCGCCGATTTCAAAAACATGTGTTCATTGAAAAGTCATGTTATTGTGAATTTCGAAGCATGTCTAATCCAATCGCGGAAAGACACAGTTTTGATTAAAGTTTCGAATTATTTCAAATTTCAGACATGGACTGCGTTTCTTTAGGTTCGACACAATCTTACCATTATATCCTAATTGTTGCATAGATACGTATATTGCAAACTCTCTCGGTGTTGCTATTCAATACTAATAATACGAGTATATAATAAACAATCAAAACTCTAATTTTGTTGCCCTCCTATAACTCACCCGGTAGTTGTCTCTCTTGTCTTTCTGCGATTAATTATTCAGCATCTGTTGTTTTCATATTATTGGCTAGAACGAAAGCGATGAATGAGATTGTCTGATTAAGGGTTGACGTCTTCCTTTTATTTGCCTTTCATCAGTAACTACCGCACGGAAAGATATTCTGGTTTGTCCATCACTTCTAAGTTTAACTAATAGTGTCACTGTCAAAGTTCATTTCGGGCTTCCTTCAATCATTCTATGTTCTGAAAAGATTCGGCTGCAATCGAGTGTTGACTGCGACAGAAAAAAGATAATGTAATATTTTTGTTTTCCAGATAAATGGTATAAGGTATTTCCAACCAGGTGCGCCCACATAACCATAACAGCATACCGGCAACCTTTAAGGTGGACTTAGTATTAACTACGTGCCCCCAAGTGATAAGTTGCAATATATTTTTATTTAGTGCTAAGAGAGAAAAAAAATGAGGATACGTTGTGTGCCAACAAAAATAAACACCAACCACTTTATGACATTTTAAAAACTGACCATGGTGTCGAGAAATATTAATGTTGCAACGTCAGTGTGTATTTTAAATAAAATGGACAAGCTACAATATGCACATAAATACCAGCAATGTCACAAAGACGTGTGACAGTAGCACAGAATCTCAAATATGATGAGTCGATGGATTAATAATACAATTAGTAGGTACAAGGAATGTTTTTTCTTTCAATTAGCTCTCAGATGAGGAATATTAACTACTTTTTTAAACATTTATACAACTATTCAAGCTGGAAAAAGACACTGTGGAAAACAGGCCAAAACAAGGCAAACTATCGTTTAAAACTAATCTAAAATAAGATAATTAAAATGAATAATCAAGAACTAATGCAAAAAACTGAGCACCTACATAATACATGAGTGATCCATTTTACTATCTTTACAAAACAATCGACTGTATCCAGAATGTACCAAATTGACCATAGTAATACCAGGCATTTAAAAAAATACTCCTCAAAACTGAATGCCAAAACTTGCTTATTTTCTTCTATAATAAAAATAACCTGATGAAGTTGACTATGTTCATGTTTTTTATTTGCTCTTGACAAAAGCACCATTAAATGAATCACGCGTTACATTCATACGTAATTTTGCCTTTTGTAATTCTATGTTTCATTGGTGTCTCTGTTGGACTTCTTTGATGAAATTGAAAGCTGATTATGTAATTCGGATAAAAATATTCTGGATGCAGACAAATATTTCTTCATGAATATATCTATCGGAAAGCACTACTAAAAGGCCAAACTAAGTCTTCTTGAATATATTGCTTGCGCAAATTGGTATGTTTGTATTTACATTGTCAGGCATCTGGCAAAGAAAAATCTCATATTTTTGTCATATGATCAGTTACAAAGCAACTATAATACCCAGTAAAAATAATTTTATTTGAATGACATTTTTTACACATTAGGAACATTCCCATTTGGTTATACAGGGTGATTTAAAAACGATGGCTATACTTCTAGAGCAAAAAGTACAGCCAAAAATAATATAAAAGATTTGAATACATACGGGCTATTGTAAATTTTTATGCCACTGATAAAAATATGGATATGGTTCAAATAATGCTGTAGCGAAAAGGAATTACCCTTAGATCACCCAAATACAATTTTAAAAAATTTCACCAACTTCACTGTATTTTCAAAACACAGATTGCCATTTTTGTAATCAAGAGAGGCGTTCCATGTACAGTTGAATAGCTTGCTCAAAAATGCAATAGATGTTTCAAAGAAATCAGTATGGTATAAAATAATGTTTTTCTTAGGTGTTTACTTCTACAGTGCAAGCGTGGTGTGTATGTGTGTGTGTTATTTTTAGATTTACTTTAAGTCCTAGAAATATTGCCTGACGTATTACATCAACGATATTTTATCTTGTTGGCGTTGCAACATTAAGCGAAAAGCCGATTGTTATTCTTTTTCGGAGAAAAAATATCATAGCTATATAAAAGATTAAATCTAGTAACGTTGGATGGTAAAGGTACTTACCTACATAGCTATATTATAAATATAAAAATATATTAACTAGTTCAAGCTTTAAAGTGTAAGATAATGTTAAGTTTGAAAATTTAATAAATCATCGATGGTTATTTGAAATATTTCATGCCTTTCACAGACTTCCTTTTGATAACTGGTCCATTTTTAAAAATGATATCTATTTTATAACGAGAAATAGATTTTGTTCCAGAACAGAAAAACGATTCTGTAACCATAACAATTTCAACTAATCATCGAGCCGATACTTGTAAATGGCGAGGCGTAGAAATATTATCTTGCCCTTGTGTTTGAGGGCGTCGTTTTTATATTTGTTGATAGTTGTTTCGTTATAAAATTACCGTCAGTCCTCAGGGTGGAAAATGTACATTATGAAGTTACGATGAAACCTCTTAGCTAAATACCTCAAAACAGAGGACTCGAATTTACCAATAAACAATAAAGCAGGTGCTCTATCTAACTGTGGTTTGCCTACTAGAATAGGAGCCTTAGTTCTAAGGATAAAAACATTAGAATACCTCAACTCGCCTTGGCTGTCCCCTTTACATTGCATTTTTACTATATGCCCAACAAGTCGATCAAAAACCTGGATCCGCACGTGCACTATGGAGTACATTGTACATTATGCATGAAGGGTTATAGTTCTATTGATCTACCTTTATTTAGTCATCGTCCATTATTGCGTATTATAGTTCTATTGTAACCAGTTTCATATGCAAACCCTGCAAGTGTTGCAGTTCAGGATATTCATGGTACCTTTCACAGGTTCCTCGAAATCATGTTTATCCAAAGGACCACACCAAACAACAAACGCGACAATATACGTAGTTACTGGCGATTTGCCATATTCCTTTCAGGGTGTGATGGGGGGCCTAAAATGCAACAGTTCCATCCAAGATAAGGATCTGATGCATGAGAATCTCAATACCTGTGGGAGATACAGCTTAGGTTAGATTAAGAAAAAGCTGCGTTCTTTGGGATTTCCCAAAAAGATTCCTTTTTTCGAGACGTAACAGGCTTTTTGAATTGACCATATTCATTTAAATTTCGAGCCAACTTTAAGAAAATGCACTTACTTGGCTGCCTTCTTTCGGGAAATTTATCAAGATACATTTCTGAAGTATTTTTAGTATTTTTGTAGCACAGAATGTATCAAGTCGGCATGTCGAACTTTTCTTCCTTGCTAAAATGATCGCCTGGCATCTTTGACTATAATAAAGCAATATTCAGAATACACCATGATAACAATACTCAGTGACAGGTATTTACGTGAAGCATTTGTTTGTAATAATGAAAAAACGTATTTCTCTTATAACCAAGAAAATAAATTTAACATCGTTGAGTTCGTATTAAAATATGCTATATATACTTCTTTCGAACCATATAAAAAATTAAGTTTCTCGAAAACGAAAGGTCGTGCACAAAATTTAAAAGCACCATCATGTAGTGCCTAAAAAGTGCCAATGGAAAAGTTTCATTGGTTTTTTGATATTACCTCAAATAAAGTCAGAAAAAATAAAAATGATTTGGGCATATTTTAGTTCTTCCCAAATATATCGGTAAGCCATGAAATTTTTACGTTTTAAGTTCATCCTTGGCATGTAAATACGCCCCAAAGAACTTTTTCTAATTTAACCTAAGCTGTATTTCCTACAGGTATTGAGATCCCTATGCATAGGATCCTTATATTGACGGTCAGAAATCAATAATTATCGAGATGTTTCAGTTTTTTTTTAACAAGCACCCAATATTGGTCATTCACGTCGAAATAGTCGAAAGTCTATCTAAAAAAAAGCGTGAAAATTCCATTGATTTTCATAGATTATGCGCAATGTACGGTAACCCCAAAAGATCAATCATTGTACCGAAGACGTACTTGTTGAGACCGACAGGTTTACTCTGAAGATTTTTTCAACACATGTTTCGATTTTCCAGAGAAATATGGGGCTATTCTACCGTAATGAATACTCGTGAAAAAGACTTACTCTACTTTATCAATATCTGCTTCCTCGATTATTGAAACCCCATCAACAGAAATTTGACTTATAATTCTCACCGGTATCAAATTTATCCTTGAGTGAATATTGAAAAATTTTTATTTCCATACGTTGGCTTCAGTCAAAATTGCAAGAATAAGACAAGAGTTAACACCCTGAGGACATTGACGTATACGGAAACATACGTACGCTTTTCCGCATGCCGAATCACGTGCAATTGTGTGCGGGCGTGATGTTTCATGTTGTTGCGAGTATGAAGTGACATTTTAACATGTTTTTCTATTAGTTAGGCGTTTACGATACGTTGATCATTTTATATTATTATTTTAACAAACTAAGGGTTCACGGCTTGTAAGTACAAACGATTGCCTTCAGAATGAGTGCTGTTGTCAATTGCTGCGAGTATTTTTCCATTGCAGAGAAAATGTACATTTAGCGAGACAGTGATTGATGATAGATGTTAAGTTCTGTAAAGCTATATAGGTAGAGAGGCGAAGGTTAAATCCAGAACCCATCATGAGAGGATCAACGGAATTTTTGAAAACTGTAATCATCGCTGTTTTAATGTGTATGAATATTAACGGACAATCAGTCATAGATTTATTAACTCAGACTATATCAAGCCTGATCTGATTGTTGCTAATAAAAAAATTAGAATAACCATCCAACATAATAGGCAAACCATTCTTGGTACAGGATGTTATAAGTGTTGGGACTTTCTTTTTCGTGAGCAACTATGGTGGAAATGACTAAAACTGTGATGAAACAACAGAGAAAAAAGGAAAAACTTCTTACCGTTCATTTGATAAGAAATTTCAAGTACACGCTTGCAGCGTTTAGGGGCTAATCAGTCTGTATCCTACGGGCGCACGGCTCCCGTGTCTAGGATCCGGCCTGATGAAGGTACCCCAAACGCTCAAAAAATCAAACGAAGTTTCCAAAATAAGGCTCCTAGTACCCCCAATTTCCAATTATCTCCAACCGCAAAGTAGGGCCCCGTTCAGAGGGGTTTCTAGGACTTCCACGGTGTCTGCCTCGACATCCCTGTAAACAGCGTGTGTCTGTAGCTCTACAAATAAATGCGGATTCGCACCGCAGCATGAAACTATCATAAAAAATGTCCTGAATATACTTCCAAAGCTGCAGCGGTATCTTGAAAAGACTTATCTAATCATCTCAACAATTTCTTTACAGCGATAGGAATGTGCCATTTTTATTTGTTTAATACCATTTCAAACAAAAGCTCGGTTCATCTGCAGCAAAGTAGGCGATAACGCTCCCTTGAGGCGCGGGAATCTACGGGTTAGAGAGCAGCATACAGGAAAAACGTACATTGATTTGGAGGTACGATCCAGTGGCTAGTTTGTGGCACACAGGGTATATCCAAATAAGTCATTTCGGAAGGCGGTAGAAAATATTAATTCTGAAAGTCTGCAACAGACGAAAAAAGTTTGGGATCCTCTGATCTACATATTGGCCAGACAAGCTTTGTTGTTCACGTTTTCCATTATCATGGTTCAGTCTATAAATTCGTTCTATGGCTTTCCGTTACGTACTTTTTTTTTCGGCTTATTCCAGATCATTCGTATGAAAAGCCTGGTGCTAGTAGGGGTTTTCCATTTCTTTTTCTCTTGGAACCGCTGATCCTTTCACTTTATGGGTTCCTGATTTTTCAGTGACCGCTTAGTCTATGGTAATAGAGTTGTAATGACTAATCTAATATGTAACTTTTCAAGAAGGCGGTGCATTTTTATTGTATTTTATTAATTTTTAACATTTTACTTGTATAGCATGATGAAGACATTCCTTTTCAGTTATCCATACTAATACTAATAAATGAAGAGCGGTCTACAGTGTGAGCAACATGTACCCCAATATAAAATAAATGACTTGGGAAAAGGTACAGTGGGTGTACTATGGACTACTAGACGTAGACTCTGCTACATTGGTTGGAAGTAATATCTAAGGTTGTAAACAGACAAAGATGTCACTTGCTGATCAGCTGTTCACGTCAACAGTCGTCAACACGTGATATGAAGTCGAGAAAAAAAGGTTACTTTTTATTAAACCTGACTCTTTTCGTCTACTGTTGACAGTTTGACCTCCAACCGCTTAGCGGGAGCACAATTGGAGACGGCTGCTATTAGTGCCAAGAACTCCAAAGCTCAACCGAATTGAGAATTTTTATAAGCTCTACGCTCTATATCATCATTTTCACGAGTTTAGTCTGATACGAACCACAAATATAGAAGGGCTCAGGAACATTTTATCCAGAAATTAATTCACATGCGTATTTACAGTCATTTATTGTTTTAGTGTAAAATTCTACATGTGGAGGATCATCCAAATGTTGCTCACACTGTAGGTAGCTCTTATATCATATCTAAAGCAGTGGCGTATATAGGCACAAAATAGATTTCCATCTTAAACGTTTGGTGTTGCCCAGATGTTGATAGCTCGAAAGTAAATATATACACATATTTCTCATAAGTCACATAGCTGGCTTGTTCGTTAGATTTTCCATCATCGTGTGACCGGAAATTTAAAGAAGCGGCAACTACGCAGCGCGACAGTGAGTTCGGGGGTCTAAACTCCACTTCTTTTCGCTTCCCCTCCACTCTAAATACGGATGCAGTATTCTCTTTGCGTTTGTATGGTAAATTTAAACGAACTGTATTCATTAATCTCAACTGGTCTTTTGGGTATATTATAAGCAATATGGATCTATGATAAAGATGCGTGCTTGTTGAAGAAGGGGAGCGAAAATAAGTGAAGCGAGATTCCTCCACTGGGTTCCCTTACACGTAATTAAATGATATCCTCCATACTTGGGCGACGGGAAGCGAAGCTACATATCACGTTTGACACGTGCAAATGACAAATACCACTGCGGTTCCCTTTGCGTTGCTTCGTCTTAATGTGAAGATCTCCCCATCTTATGAAAAATTAAGTACAAATGATTTTAGTCATTCTTTCAGTACTTTCATAAGATACTGCAGGGCTGCATTTTTGCGACTGGTTCGAAATTTTCATGATTTTTTTTGCTTTGATTGTTTATGTGCGAATTTTTGGTTTTTGTGAAGTTCCTATATACGTCGCTGAAATGAAATTGTATTCATGGCATTGGTTGATTATAAAATAATACCCTATGAATCAAAAAATCACAAATGTTAATTACTGACTATTTTTCAGTTGTATTTGCATATAGATGATAGACACAGATATGTTACTTATTTTTTGTATGTTTAATATTCGCCTATATTTTATTATAACTTCCATAATAGCAATTTGAGTTTTCCTTTCCCCACTGGGTGAATATTCCAATTTGAGCTTTTATATGGCATGTATACCATGTATTTTGTCGTTTTTGTGACAGAATATTTTCGGATTTCTTTGTTTAAGGTTTTGTCAGTTGATTCATATATTGCAAAACAATTTTGTATCGCCAATTCTGTTCGTAATCTGTCAACTTTCCTCCGGATTTTGAACAACTTGCTCTTCTTGATGCCTGCTAGTGCTATTATGGAAGATATTTTTAACTTTTTATTATCACGAATTGTTAAAGATTCTATTGCAAATAAACATTGATCACAATTTCTTGTATTTTCTTAAATGTCTCCCCTATTCAGGTCAGTAAATGAAACCAAGTGGCGTCTTGTAGGCCAACATGTCAGTCGAAGTATTTTCCGATAATCTGTCATCTCTATTGCCATGATAAGATGGATTGACCCTCAGTCCATCTATATCTATACATAGTACGAGATCCGACCGCTTGAATCTGTAGTTTTTTTTTAATAAAACATTTTTATGAACGATAAATAGATTGGGAGGTAGAATAGTTTGCAGCCGGATTGCCTGGTAAAATTTAGCCGCAATTACCTATAATTAGATACAGGGCGAGTTTTTAGTATGGGATCGGTCCATAACTCGCACTACGCATAGCATCTAAAAAAGTTAATTACAATAATTGTAGCTGTGGAAAATATTTGCATATCTAATTTGATGCGACATACTATTCAGCTACTCTCCAATAGATGGCGCTGCATATCGATAGCCACCACAAAGTCCACCATTTTGAATGACTACCTTGAGCTGCTGAAATCCCTTCAGTGAGCCCCAATGCATGGATTGCTTTGTCTTTCAACAAAGAATGTTTTCATCAAAAAATGTGGCGATTTTAAACCCCCCCTCACGGAAATTTAAGTTTCTTGATCTTCGAAGATGCGCTGCCATAGAAACCACCACTAGAGGATCTTTTTGACTAGTTAAATTTTGTGTGACGTGTGATAACACTTTACAAAGAAACGCCATCTATGGGATGGTAGCCTAACTGAATGAGTTTTTTATATCTAGTTGAAAATGCACAGAATTAGCGTAAATTAATTTAAGAGAGGAATACCGATGAATCTATTTTTTATTCAGCTACTCTCCAATATATGGCGCTGCATATCGGTAGCCACCACAAAGTCCAGCATTTTGAATGACTACCTTGAGCTGCTGAAATCCGTTCAGTGTTCAGTGAGCCCCAATGCATGTAAGGAGGAGGACGCTTTGTTTTTTAACAAAGCCAGATCAATAGGTAATATTAGATTATTATAATAAACTAATCCAAACAAAATAATCTTTTCATAAAAAAATGGGGTGACTGTTAACCCCCTCACGGAAATTTGTTTCTTGATCTTTGAAGATGCCTTTTGCCTTGCCATACAAATTAATTTTTGGATCAAATTACTGATTTTGACAGGGCAAGCCGCAAGGCAGCCCTCCAACAGACACTTCCTCTTTGCTCTTCCCCCTTCTTTCCTTTTTCCCCCTAACTTTTGTCTGGTATCTCGGCAACTAGCTTGACAGACCTACAAGAGTTCCAGAGCAACGGTCACACGGACCGCTTTGACGAATAGAAAGAATCAAGTTTTATCAAAACACAGACACCTGCAGATTCAAGCGACCAGTTCTTAAATTCTGGTGAAAGACTACTCGTATATGAATAGTTTTAAGATTAAGTCCCCAAGTTTATCAGAGTAACACCTCGAATTCATATACGCGATCCTGTTGGGATTAAAAGATGGAGTAAGCTCGAACGGGAATATGCGATGCTGTCGAAGTTGGTTCGACCGAAGTATATTCTTCCATCGCGCTGGCATCAACTACTGTTCAATTTCTAGAAGTTTGCGAAATAAACTTTCAATGTCAATCTTACTGGACTAGTTCCGATAAATCCGTCCGATGGCATCGAGATAAGCGTCATATGGATCTAAGATGAACTCTTTAAGAGATAACTGGTAACTGTCAGTTGTGGAGGTAATAGCGGTCTCACCACTGGCGTAGCTATCTTGGGTGGCATCCAGTGCGGAAGTTGGTGGTACATCCCATCGAAAGTCAAAAGCTATACATTTTATATGATTTATAAACGTCATTGATCATTTAATTTTTATATTTAAAATATTGAACAAATAACAAAACCCAATAAAAACTAAGACAAAAAATATTTTTTTCTTACAATTAAAATCTCTTCCTTTTAGCTTTAACAGCTGCAAACTCAGAAATAACTTCAAAATTTATATTTTGAATTGCTTTGTGTTCGATGGCTAATATACCAAGATTGCTAGGGCGCGATTGGGTCATTGTTTCCCGCAAATAGTTTTTTATTAATTTTAGTTTACTGAAACTCCTTTCACATGAAGCTACGGACACGCAAACCGTCATGAATAATTTTGGTGCAATCATAAGACTTGGAAGAGATTCTGTAAAATCGTATTCTACAATATACTTTAAAAAATCTAGAGACACCCAATCAGAAACTGCAACATTAGCGGCTTTTAAGTGTCTTCACAGTCTTGGTATCCCCAAAAGTAATTCTCTTTCTGAGACCTCATCATAAAAATCAGTAAATTTGGGTGTATTTAATTTCAGTTCTTCAGTATTCGCCAAAAGCAAAGTGTTTGTACGATCCCAAACAATGAAGCTAGTCTTGAAGATACTTCGATCTTGCATGGAGTTCAACTCTGAATAGGTCAATACATTCCAACATATTTATCTTTTTAAAGTTCTTCATTCAGTGTGGGCCATCTGCCTAACCATCCCTTTTTTAATTTTTTTATGTTTGTACTTCTGGAAGTTGAGTCACCGCGTGGCCCGCCACCGCCGCCCCACCCCTTGCTACGCCACTGGGTCTCACTATAGTAGGGAGGTAATTCCTGGATAATATAGGTAAGTGCCAGTTAAAGGTAACAGCCAGATGAATAACTAACACGTAGAAGTAGATTCACAGAACTGAAAAACAAATATTACATATTTAGTAAAACTTCTTTTATTAACTGAAATAAGTTAGGTGACAACTTTTTCGAATAACAACATATTTCTGTCAAATATATGCTACACAGATAATAATTTGTGTATATACAAATTTCCTTTTATCTTAAATTATCCATTTAAAATGTAAATTTACATACACTACAAAAACATTGAATAAAACTAGCTAAGTCAGATAACAATTGAATATTATATATAAAGGTTTCAAAATTTGACTATATACTTAATTAGTTAAACACAAGTGCAAAAACTCGGGGCTCGGAGAAAAAAGTTATCCACATCTATACAAGCTTCTTACGGGGTGATAAAAGTCAAGGCTTTAATATATCCTCACTAATAATCTAACAAGATGTCTTCCTTAATACTACTTGTGTATTTGTCAATAACAAACTCAGGTGGACAAAGGCAGCTTGGGCAGAGCGAAATGGAATTATTATTGATATACCGTCTATAACTACTTTTGCCCAGAAGTTACCGAGGTTTGAACTTTGATATTGCTAGTAACCAAATGGATTTCTTATAAGCTGTATTAAAATTACGGTTTAAAAGTCTCACAACACTTGGAACTCAAGGTCGTTCCATTTCATGTTGAGATGCATAAATTTAATCTTTAGATCTGCAATGATATAATGAAATTCTATATATATTACTAATATTGCTCGCGTATACAGGAGCTCGTCAAGGGCAGCACCGAAGATGATTTTCTTCCTGGTAGACTGCATGATAGAGGAAAGTCGCCCGCAATACTGCAAACATCCGTTGTTATAGCGTGGTATTACGTCAGATCACGACAGTACCTATAGCTTTACTGCCAAGCGATACCGCGAAATGATGCTGACCCTCCGTCAGACTATAGATTCTGATGGATGCCACGTGATACGGACAGCTAGTATAATAGAAAAACTCCACTCATATGAAAAAATAATTTATTTGGTGATCACTAGGTCATATATTTTTGGACTTTGAAGTTAACATGTGATATAAATCTCAATGAACTACACAAGAAAATAAAAAGAATTCCAGAAGCAGGAAAAATATCAAATCCACAAGTTATCGCACTTCAAATAAGCTGAAAAATCCAAAATCACATCCAAGGAGAAATTCTAGGCAAATTACTTTTGTATTTATTGTTCTTTCCCTCTTGATACGTGCTAAAATCCATCAAATTACTAAGCATTGCAAATTCAATATTTCCTTCTTCAATCCAAACCTACTGGGGTATAGGGTTATGCAAGCACGGACAGGGCAGCTTCCATCAATAAATAATAAATAAATACAAGCCTAATTATAAAGGAATCACCGTTTATGTTTGTCGAATATAATAATATGCTTTACGAATTAGTTCTTCTACATATATATAAGATATATGGGAAAACTACTGATGAATGTATTGTCTTGATACAGTTTTGCTAACGAAGATCGGGATATTTTCTATCCAGAAGAGTTTCTGATCATATAATGTATAAATATATTGCATAGGTAGCTACAGCTACATTGGGGTAATGTGATCTACATTTGTCCAATATAATATGAATTTTAATCAATCGTTATTGTCAAACATTAAAAACATAAGCTATAATATGATTATACCTGGTCAAATAACGTAAATTTTGCAAACCATAAGAAAAAAATATATATTTTAACCGCCTGGTTTACTAATATTTTTATGCCAACCTTGTAGGTCAGCGCCTTTCAGGTGCATTATGCACGCGTATTGTGTCGCATAACAGTGTTACTTGTCAATGTTTGACAATCTAAATGCAGTCAGAAAAAGACATTTCAGTCTCCCCACCTAAATATTTCAAAATCAGCACAATCTAGTAAAATAAATTCAAACAAAAGTTGTAGTATTGTTGGAAATTATGATTAGGTCAAGTCAGAACTTAAAAAGGAAACCTCTCAGTTCTATACTGAAAATAGAAAATGCGGAAAATTTAACGTAGAATGTGATCTTGACTTTAAATAACAGGACCCCAACTTTGACGTAAAATTCACTGTTTCTTCCGTTTCCAATATAAAAATGAGATGTTTCTTTTGACTTGACCTTGACGTCGATCATGGCCTTCAACTTACTGTGCTGTGGAACATTTTTGCTAGAGCAAATTGTGTTTGATATTGATTCAAATCAAGATGAAATGGCATTACAGGAAATTATTCGGACGTAAAACTTGCTCCTCTTTTCAATTCCGATGTGAAAAAGTGAGGGTTCTATTTAAAAATATTCACCTGATTTGGAAATGACCTTGAAGGTCGTAGTCGGGATCATGATGAAGGCCACCATAATTTTGTCCTCTCAATACCCTACAACTTGTTTGAAACTTTTAGAATAAGCAATATATAGGGGGGAGAGGGACCTTGTATATCGAACATTGGCAAATGACGGTGTTGCGCAATATAAAACGTGTGCATAAATGCGCTCTTGCTGTGGAACAATTATTCCATTGATTTCGCAGCCATCTAGGTAGCCTGAGAGGTAAATATATATGACATTCCAAAACCCATAAAAATATCAGTTTTTCAGACTCGAAAGCATCTCCAGTTTTAGATATAATCTGATGTAGATAATCGTTGAAATCCATAAATCAATTTCCGCGTCTGTTACAATTCATTTTCGACAGAGATAAACATATAAAAGCCCCACCCAGCTTGCCAAGCCCTCTGAGATACAACAAAATGAGAGCATAGTATCATCATGTATATTTACGTTATCAAGATGAGCTGGTTTTTGCAAGCAGCAGCACTATCACTGATGCAGAATATCTCGGTACAAACGATACACCTTCAAAAGTACAAGCTTCTATCTAATAATAAGTTTCACCAGTACTTTGGTACGTACCTGACTGTCTACAAAGCGAATGTAATACTCGTATGTCCATGTCAACTGGATATTATAATCAGCCTAAAATAAGGATGTACATGCTAAACTGAATACCTTCTACGCGTAGTTTCTACAGAATATGCAAATAAAGCACAAAAAATAACTAAGTTCCTATAAAAAATATCCCAATGGGGCTCCCTCACGTGGATACAGACTCGTGAAGGACGCTACTAAAAATCGGTTTTTCTGAAAGAGACTGAATAATTCAACGAAATTTTGACATCTTAATAACCAGTTGGGTTTCCATTCGCCCCTGGATCGACTCATTGCAGAAAAATCGATTTCCAGTATCTCCATATGAGACCGTATAGAATATTTTCACTAAGTTTATATGGAATCGGATCAAGATTTGATTAGAATTTAGATAATCTCAAATATGAGGCGTTCATGTCGTACTTTTAATCTTTGACTTGCTTTAGTGACTGCCCACAGAATTTCTAAAATCAGATCAAGTGTTCATATTGGTAAATACAAATCCAAATCTTAATCCAATTCTACTTATTTGGAGGCATGGCTTATCCTGTTAAGATAGTGATTCCGAGTGTTTATATCCGGAATTTTGAACCTTAATCCTAGGCAGAAATCCTCGATATAAACGTTCTGCCCTCTAAGAACTCATGGCGTTTTTTGCACACGAGAGATTTACATGTTATTCTGGAAAACGCATTATTAAACGAGATCGCATCAACAACGCCAAATATGCAAAATAGGAACGTTGCGCTGTCTGTAGTGCAACGCTGCCACATGGCATACTTGGGTGGCATGGAGACACTCTGTTTTTTTTGTAACCGAATGACTATTGTTGCGTATCTACGGATTACTATTTCAGCAAGTGCATCCATTGGTGACAATATAATATGGTATGGACAAGTACTTCTATGACTATAGACCATACCTTACATTTACCAGCAATTATGAAAAGGTGGCACTTACGTCGTAAGCAACGATTCATGATTATCTAAATGCAAACAGTAGGTTATGGTTAGTTAAAATCTTTTGTATGGTATTTATTTGATACAGAAGTTACGACATACCTTTTGTCCCTTTTAAGTGATGTTTTTTTGTGGATAAAGCATTCAGTGCCCGAATTTGCACCCACTCTTCTCTTTAACAATTCACATGGAAACAAACTTTCATGTTTTATTGACACAAACTTAATAGTGGGTGGCAGAAATGATAAGTTGAATGCTTTGCGCAAAATTTCTATTTTTATTCGAATGCACAACGCACGTATATTCGAGATATTTCAAGTACAGGTTCAAGTAACGTCACCATTCAAAAAATTTCTACCACCAATCAGATTGTGTATCGTTTGCACTGAGAGCCGTGGCCGCATTGGAGGCTGCGATATGGGAATCTATGGTGTGCGATCGCCGTCAGCAGCGCCGTCTAGCGGCGACTAATGGAGCCTCTGGGGCGCCCGGGCGGGCAGCGTCCACACCGGCGGCACCGAGGGTCACAGCTTCTCTTTGGTCGGGACCCAGATGGATGGGCCGGATTGCTCCTTGATTACTTCTTTCACTTGGTTGTAGATCTCTTCGGGCGTATCGCCTTCTATGACGGCTGAAATGGTAATAGTTCGAATGTATAAAATCGGATACTGTCCAAACTGAATTTACGCCGCGTTGTAAGTTGTAATACATCCTGCACGATCTTCAATTTCTCGCCCTACTTTTTGCTAGTGAGCTTTAGACGATATGAGCGCGAGCATCAGGCAGTGTTTGTTTTGAAATGGCATAAATACAGTTTTGCAGTTTGCATTACTCATCTTATTTATGACATCAATGTTATCACGATTGTAGAAAACTCTTTGCTCAAGCGACAAATATGCGGCAAAAACAATCATGCCAAAACAAAAATATACCACCGACGCTACGGAGCACCATAGGGGTCTATTCTAGGTCCGAACCTGTGAAATCTATTCCTTGCTGAACTGCGGGTAGAAAACATTGCAAGACAAATGATGTCACAATACGCAGATGATTTGTGCGTGCTAAATGAATCCAAACAGCAAAACACAGTCATCATGAGAGCAAAATGGGCAATGGAAAAAATATCTGAATACTATGATCGGTACTTGTAATAAGCAGAAAATCGAGTGTATTGTATTTCTGCGAGCATGGACGTACCCTAAAGACATCAAGTTTGGCGAGAAAGGGGAGCCAACAGTCGTAATCCCCGTCCTCAATCAAATACGGTACCTTGGGCTCAATGTTAACAAAACACAGAATTCATGCCTCAAATTGATTAGTCCGAGTTTTTGCTTTTCAGCTTGACCCGTTCAAAAAATAAGTAGGGGGGGGGGGGGCTGTTTGAAAAGCACTAGTATTATATCGGCGCACGTTAGTAATTAAAATTCATCAGTGCAATTTTTAAATTAATTCCAACATTCAATTTCCTTAGTAAATTTTCTTTTTTCAATGTTTTATAGAAAATTTTCTCAAGGATTTCAATCATTATGAACTTTGGTATTCCAGCCTGCTTCTTGATACCACCAGCGATTTGTATTCATTTGTTTGTGTGGGGTGGAGTCTGCTACGACACACTATACCCCCAGAATGTTTTAGCTATTATGGATTGTAGCGTAGTTTCACATTGAAGGGCAAATTTCCTTATCAGGTATCTCACAAAGATAATTCATAAAATATTAACTAGTGTCTTAGAAAATAAGAATCTGACTAGGAAATGGAGGTCACTCGTCACAGTATGAATGGTTCTAAAAATATTTATGTATAAACATACCTGTGAAATATTCTCCAAACTCCTGTTCCATCTTCAGAGCTCTTTCGTAAGTCTTCTTGGCCTGCTCATCTGTTATCCTCTTATTCATTTCACTATGTAGAAAGAAAATATGTTTCATCAGAAAAGTCGCTTCTAATTTAACTATAACTTTAACAAACTCTATTATATTTTAGAAATGTAATTTTTTTATAATTAAATTATAATCGGTAATAACTTTAGGCTTAGTATCCGGGCTAACACTGCATCAAATTTAGTTGAGAAGACAAATCTATTATAGCAGGCGAACGATTTGTTAAAATGAAATAAAAAAAAACGCTGTAACTTTATTTCTCTTGAAATTTGTGTGTATACATTGCATCGTACTTACATTATTGATTCGACAGATTTCGGTTTGATGAATATTGCAATAGGATACAATTGCGCCACTTGCAATCGTTTTATTGCGTTGCCACTAACATCCAGTATACAATGTTTCCCCTGCAAGAATACGAAAGTTATTTTCTCATCAAAATACGATTCGGATGCCTCTTCAGTTTTCCAAACGTATGGCACACGTCGACAAAAATAAAAGAAACTATAGTTATGCCTGTAGCAGCGACTGTTGTTAGTCTATTGTAAAAATTACTCAAAATAATACCATAGGTACTAAATATTTTATGCCCTCTAAGGGCCGAATCGTCAGTCGTTTCTACAATTGTGGGACGCCTTTATGGCGTCCTTGATTTTCAGAGAATTTTCTCTCCTTCATGAAGGCTGGAATATTTCTAGATCTCTACTGTTCCGTGTCAGCCTCAGCGATCTCCTATTGTGAAACTATGATTTTCTTTTTGAATTGCAGGAAATTTCAGGCTGATATAAATCAAAAGCATGAACAATTTGATGGAAATAGTTATTTGTAACATAACCTCAAAAGTGTTCATGCTTTAGTTTTATCTCATCTGTTATATCAGCTTGAAATTTCTTACTCTTCAAAAAGAAAACATAACCTCACAGTAAGATAATGCTGACGCCTTTCTAAAGGAGAGACAATATTATGAAAATCAAGGATGCCGTAAAGGCGTCCTATTGTACGAACGACGGACGATACGGCCCTAAGGGAGCAGAACTTACTAGACAAGGATGAACGTTGCACCCTATTTCACGAGTATCCATCACGGGATAATGACAGCTAATTATCCAGATATATTTCAAAATTCCCCAAATCGGCACAGGACAAATAATTAATTTCGGTGAACTCCAGAAAGACAGACCCGTATTTTGTTGTGTTTCTTTGTACGCTCCAAAGGCGTGTTATTGAAAATCGTCAGCCATTCATTATAAATCTGGTTGGATATGATGAGGATCTCGCAGATAGTTGTTTTAGTGACTAGCGTAGCGGGATTGTGTCTAATGTGTGTACTAGCTCCACAATTAATTTGGAATGACTGCGGAAGGACACGTGTCTGTATCAATTTAATTTGCAGGTTGATGCATTGTGCAAGATCAATTCCTTTTACGTCAGTGTGGTATTTTAAACAAGCTGTATTCATTATTAATTTTTATGATAGGTTCTGCAGATACTAATACACACAACCGGTATCTATGTTATTGTTACAGGTAAATTTACAGCTTATGGAAAGGACTACGCAAACTGTTCTATCGACATACCATGTAATCAATAAATCCCAGATGTACTATAATAATTTTCTAATACACTTTTCTACATCTGTACTTGTACATTGTATTGTCACATTTCCCACCCACATAAAAATATAATCCTGATATATGAATATGGTCCCGAAATTCATTATTGCCAACGTTACAAATTAACACAAAGATGGATACTCATGAAATAAAGTGTATATTTCTGCCTTTTTGCTGAGCCTAAAAATTGCGACATTCCTTTACTTCTTGGGGTCAGAAAAAAGGAATATGACAAACAACTATCAAAAAATGCAACACAACACCAGCAAAAGACACAATCGTCCATAAAAATGCCATAAAAAGGTCGGATTTTTGTCAGCCCTGATTTCGCTCGTGCGTTGCGGCTCGACATCGAAAATTATTGGCTTCTGGTTTTGGTGTATGGTCATATCTTAGCGTTAACATTTCGTGGTACATGAGATCTCAGACATAATTTACATTGTACCAACGAAGAAACGACTATTTCATAGTACCATGATCGAAATAATCACCTTTTCAGCAACTTCTCGAACTGAAGCAACTGATGTACCGTACAGGTTCTCATTGTACTGTCCAGCCTCAATGAACAAATGGTTCTGAATGTCGCGTTCCATTTGCTCCCGTGATGCTACGAAGTGGTAGTCTCTCCCGTCTACTTCATATTCCCTTTTCGGCCTCGTGGTATCTGAAAAACAACATTTTTCCAACAACCACCACAAAAAAATCCGATAATGTTGTCAAACAAAATTGTCCAAAATTGTTTGCTTTAACCGAAAAACCTCTCATTTTATAGAACACAAAGTATGAAAAGTACAAGGTGATATGAAAGTTGGGACTTTTCGGGAGCAACTTCGTTTGAAATCACAAAAACAAAAATTCTGTAAACAGCAGCGAAAACGTAGAAAGGGAAATTCATTTGATATGAAAATCAAGCACCGCCTTGTCTCGTAAATGCTGTTTGATGTTGTCGCCGTTTGATCCTCTGATACAAGTTTGTTAGGTTAGGTGTTTTGTGAGTGAGTCAATCACGATCCTTCACTGCGACTCAATGGTCTATTTCGGTTGTTACCTATTTATATTTCTCCCAGTAACTGCCTGGCAAATCGATGCCTAGGTTCATAGGCTGACTGATTCCTTGGAGCCATCTGTGTATGCACTGACATTTTTCCTTAGTAGGTCAGTTGCTGCTCCCACTCATTAAATTGAGGAATTATCATTGAGTAGGGTTTAGCATACCTTGTTATTTTTGGCATTATATCAGCAGGTATTCCCAGACTGTGGTGGTTTTGTATGTACACTAACATGCCCGTTTCCACCATAGTGATATTGCCCATTATACCATTCGCCACATGATGTAGCCTATAGGTTGTCCTTCTTCCCTCGCGATCCAGGTATATCTGCGAGGGAGGCAGAAGAACCTTCATTGCCGAAGTTGGTGTGGTGCTCCAGTAATCTAGCTTCTCTCTGTGGTGCGCTTGGTTTAGCCTGGACAGTACGTTGCACTGCATTGCCCCATCAGATCCATAGGTTATCATAGGTCTAATCACCATGGCATAACGCCAAAACATTTCATAGAGTGCCCACCTCGACGGCCTTTGCACGGTTCAAAACCCACTTACGCGGCCCCAGTAGAAAACATCCAGGAAAAAAATCTAAGTATATACAATGGCGAAGTAGCCTCTTGAAAGCACTGACTGTAAAATCAAATTGATGATGATTTATAGGAATGTGCTAATTTCGATTTTTTCAAATCCGATGTTTCACCCTGGATGTAGGAGGGCTTAGCCATTTAGATGTTTGTGGAAGTTAATATCTCGGGTATCCTAAGGATTTGGTGTATGTGTTGCTAGAGACAATTTGCCTGTTTTTATATGGATTACACGTTATTCTTACATGCACTATACGCTGAGTAAATGAAAGTCCCAACTTCAATAAAACCCTGTATACCACAGATCACCAATACACTCGAAATGTCTCTGTATGGAGACACTCAGAGGTGTACTTTCCTCAATGTCATCTTTAAAAAAGTCAGTCCGAGCCTCAAAACTTATTGTATTAAAGCATCTTGCTCTGTGGTCGAGATATGAGAAATACCTTACTCTTACTGTATTTAAATATCGCCTTTGAGATTAATTAGACCTAATACATATTCAAGTTTTTCCTTACATTTGAAACAATCACCCAAATGATAATTTTTTTAAACTTACGAGGAACACAGCTTCCAAACTTATCAGGAAATTCCGAAATTAGATCGTCATTGATACGATCCTTCAATGGACCCAATATAATGACAGGTCTAGAGTAATTTATATGAACTTGCTGCACTGGTTCATATGAAAGAACATTCTCTTCATTGCCTGAAAAAAATACCATACATGAACTAATTCAAAGTGTTTATGTTTGTTCTAAAAATTGAACGTTTGATCTACTGATAAGTATAGATCAACATTATCAACTCAATACAAAAAGTGTCAAAATAGAAAATATTGGCCTAGATTGAGATTGGAAACAATATTCGACCATGATTGTAAATCGAACGTGTACGCCAGTTGGTTGGACAACATGAAGATTTGTCAAAAGCATTGGATAGGACTTTGAATAGTAACAATAAAAGAGAAGTGTAACTGCCAATTTCTATAGATAAACGCTACGACTGAAAAAAATGTGTATTATATGTAACTACATATAGTTATAGCAGTTGATATAGCATGTGGCATTTTGGTGCTCTATCTAGATATTCTATCACAAAAAATGTATTGAGTCGACCAAAGATTTTTTTTAATCAGTGTATCATATCATTCGAGCTGGTGATCAAACAATGAATAACTAGTAGAAAAAACAATGGTTTTTGCTCTTGCCAGGAGAAGTTTCATCTTGTGGTTGCATTATAAAGCTACTACACAATAGTGTATTTGTTCATCAGTTATAATCAGATGGTAAAAGTTGTGCAGTTTGATGCCTTAGAAATGACACCTAATTATTGTTGCTCAGAGAAAGTTTCGCCAACTAGTAAAATCTGAAATACGATGGTTGATTCTTTGCATCTCTACAAGCACCCTCAGGGACACATTACTTTTTTGTCATGAAGCGCTTAGCCGCAACAAAGTCAGAAAATAAAGAGAAAACAACAAATTTTGCAATATCAATAATATTTATATATTTAAAGTAACTTCTCTTACGCATCTAGCAAAAACCACATCTTGATATGGGAAAAAATTCTTAGGGGTTAAAGATGGAAGAACTAAAAATTAGTAATTTTAGTAAGTTTTCTCTACTAACTAAAAGCTATTCAAATTGATATTTATACAAAAAGACACTACTTTCAATTGACAAACATTCACAAATCTTCAAAAACTCCCTAAGAAAAAGCTAAAAATATGTCTGAAAAATGTCAAAAAAACATCCTATCATATCTAACCTATATTAGCATAAAAATTATTACATCAAACAACCAACCACCTCCCTCAACCATTAGCAAGAACTATTTATTAATGTTTTCTGATGTAATAATTTTCTGTTTATGTTAATAGTATTCAGATGTTAGATCGTTCCATAATATGTAAAAACAAAAAAATGCAAATTCGCAAATAAGGTATAAGGACAGTAAAAACAAAAAACTCTTCATTGCTACTTACGTACAAATAAAAGTACGTGTCTAAATCACTATTTTATGCAGATTGTCTAGTTTTTCTCGTTCAGCAAAATACACGTAATGCATAATCTAATTGGTGATGAAGTTGCGAGATACTACTTTGTAAAATAACGTGACTAACTCACTACTTCGTACGTGATAGCAAGTTCAGCATCCCACTACTTTGTAAGTTGCCTCCGATGTGACTTGTTGCTACTTGGTTTCGGTAATAAAGCTCTGGTTTAAACACACTCAAGAAAACTTTCAAAGTACTGGGACATTAATTGTCTTAAACCTGACAGCAGGAAAACCAATCAGACTTCAGAATTATAACGCCGCATCGCTAATTTTGATGTATAATTTAGAATGTACTTGTAATTTATTATTACCAATAAGGTATGCCGAATTTTTCATTTACTTTGTCCAGTTGATATTAAGAATGAGCCAAAATCTGGGAAGGGGAATTTCCCACAAAATTTACGGATCTTTCATTATTTCTTTGTAATATGCTACACTGAAACATCTCGTCCATAAATACTTGGTATTGCACAATACCACGAGAGGTCGAAGATAACACTAATAGAAGATAGTCATGGCAGACAGAATAAATTGAGTTATGCCAAAAAATAACTAAGCAATTCAACTACTTGTATATAGTAATTATTTGAAATTTGATTGGTTAATTCTTCAATCAGTCATTGTCAAATGTTAACGAATTTGAGTTAATGATATATCAAGGTATACCAACAGCATTCACCAAATGTTAGTTTAGCGGCTCATAGCTTTTTACACGCAGCTCTATAAGCGTTACTTGGTATACCTCTAAACGCATGTATTTACAGCAGTATACTCGTGTCACATTATTTTTATCGTCTAATTTGTCCATTATCTAAATGAAAGTGGATGATATTTTTATTATAGCTGCTTTTTATTAGTGCGCACAGGTAGTAGAGGCAAGGGCATGGAAGGTAGAGACAGTTTTTATGGAAATATTTCTATAAAAATAGATTTTACCTGAGAAAACAGTCTCTAAAGTACAAGTCTATTCAAAACTGATGTAAAACTAACATAGGCCAATATTTGATCGAAAAGTCATCACTTAACCCCAACTTAAAAATTGCTTGAACATACTGAGGGGTTTTTGGGACACTGCATCCAAATCTGTTTGCATTGACCAGCAAGGTTAACCAGAGGTTATATCAAGCTCAAACTAAGGTTATTTCAAGATCAAAGTTTGTAAAAGATTTGAATCCACATGAAAACCTTCATCTACAGGTTTTTGGGTGTCAAAATATGAATTTGGCGTTTGTTTTGCCCGGCAATGTCATCTAGAGCTTGCGCACTTACGTTTTCAAGGTCGCTGAATCTGTATATGGTATTTGTTATACCCCAAGTGAGGTCATCCAGAGGTTACTCCAAGGCCAAGTGAAGGTTATTTCAATGTCAAAGTGCCGGACAAAACTAAAGCGAAATTTGCATTCATCGAACCATAAGCTGGAGTATACATTTTTTTAAATTAGGCATGTTTTCTAAATTCGGACTTGAATCTGAAGTGATGGAGGTCAACCGATCACTGCATTGAGTTCAGAGATTTCAAAAAGACACCTACAAAGGATCCCTCCAGTGGTAACTCTTAGATCAAATCAACAATTGTGTATTCAAAAAGTAAGTATTATGCATATGACAGACAAGGTCATGTATGTATGTAGCTCGTAAACTCATTTTGTGGTTCGGATGATGACTTCCTGAAGTTTAGACTGCCACAGCAGTATCAAATCCAAATTCTGTGAATGGTTCTTGTATTTATGTATATAATGGCATATCAAGAACTTTTTATTATTTGAATCATTCCGCGATGACCCTATGACCGATAGACAGACTTCAGGGGCTGCTGAATTTTCTTGAAATTTACTCTTATAGAAATAAACCGAAATGCTGCCCATACTTCCTTAGCTACGAGGGTGGTATGGGGTTGATATACATAAACACGTAACAGGATCAACGATTTTAGTGACTATTAATAAAATTTCGATGGGATGGTTTTAGTTTATGCGGTATATCTGATACTTTTTATTACCAGTTTCTGGCACAGTGGGGCGTGTAGTAACATTGTGAAGTGGTGTACTCAGCAACAAGATGTTTTTTCATCAGCGCGATTTTAGAAAATATAAAAATTCCATGAATTGCTCCCATCTATGCCAAAACTCGTATGCCGTAGATGTCTATAATACTTTAATTATGCAATAGTACATGTTTTGTTTCATAGGCTAATTAATATTTTATATATTAAATATTTTTATATTCCTCCTGATTTTTGTCGGAAAATCTTGACACTCGTAAAATTTCTGAGATAATATAAGAGAAATATTTTGATTCACATTCATAAAAATACTATTACAATATTTAACCGTGTTTAAAATATGATCAATATAAAGTCCTGTATCATTTGGTTTCATCCGACTCCATATTTTGGAAGTACTATTTCACTATTAAAGTTTACAAACATCCCGCTTAATGAGTCCATGAAACACATTGACATTATAAGATATAAAATTATTTTGTGAATATGAAAGTAAAAACAAGAAAATCAAGTCGACTGAAATACTTTTATTTGTGAACGTTTTGGAAGTAACAATATGTGGCTAGCAAATAAGACAGTGCGATAGGTTACACTGCTACGCTTTCGTCCGTTGTCCAAGTCCCAAGCCTAGACGATACTGAAGAATCGTCAAAACGCACGAATCAGCTGTCCTTGGTTGGCTGTCTTTGGTCAAATGGACGAAAGGAGCATGTTTAGTTCTTGTGGATACAACTTTGTCTCTCTCCGCTAAGAGTTCTCAATCTATTTCCGAAAAAAACTTATTTGTCTTCTCAAGGTTCACGCTGCCTTACATCCACGTTTTTGAAAGAGATTACATACCTTATAATGTCAACATTTGATAATGCAATCAACACGAATAAAAAGAAAACAAAAAAAAACGCCACGCCTGGACTGAACTGGGTGCATTATTTGGACGGGAAAACGCGAATTGCACATATTACTGATTGTTTCGTTTTGCGCCTGTTGCCATGCAACCACAACACTAAAGACTTACTAGGGTCGTCTTCCAAATAAATTAGCGTTATTTCTTCCATGTACGGTAGTTCGACACGATACAATATTTCACCTATATTGTAACACAGAGAAAGAAGCCAAAAAAGAAAAAATCCGTTGTCATTCGCTGACAAGCAAAAAATTTAGGTCAGTCATTCAAGTTGTGAATAATTCATAAGTTTTGCACCATCATTTTTCAAAAAATAGTTTATCAGATACATCGATAATTACTTGAAATGTACATTAGTGCTATATTTTTGATCAATTACTAGTCTAACGACGTTAATTTTAGTCGAACCTTCTTACTGTAACAAAAACAAATGATTCGATCCTATTATTTATATTAATATTAATAATCTGCAAATGTGATAGTAAAATAATATTACAACTTCAATATGACCCAAATTTTTGGCTAGTCAGTTTGCATACCATAAAAAACTAAACATATATCATCAAAATATATGATATTTGTGTAATATAACTTGTAAGAGTATCAACGGTAGTAGTTAACGGAAATATATTGAATACTATACCTTCAGTATTTGCATCCTCTTGTGTGTAACATAACATGAATGCTGGAATAGAAAAGCAGCAATTAACAGTGTCCTCACAACCTGGTACTTGTCATCCAGTTTAACAAAATTATTGTTCAGAAAACAGAATAAAATTTATGAAAGAATAGAGTACGGGAGTGAACGTACTAAGCAAAAGATGCAACGCCAGGACATCTGGCTTGTGTTGAACTCGTTATATCACAAATGCGTGTTATAAACTATATTGTTAGAAAGTGTAGATCGTGTAAAAAACTTTGAAATCAGCATTTCAGCTTGTAAAAAGTCTTCTTGTTGTGAGTTTACTCTAATATTTGAAAGATAATCTTTGAGTCTGGCATTGGTACATAGGTAGGGATTGGGTATATCGGAAAAAGCATCGAAAACTTTTGCAAAGAGGGAACACAATGAAAGATGTGGAGACGTAACATCTGAAACTCATCCTGTGGTTGCCATCCTGATATAACACCATTTATCTCTGGCCAAATAGAAGTACGTGTTGAAATTACACTCTATAGACGTTTCGGCTACCACATACAGATCAGTATTGTCATTGTCACTTATCTGTACTTTGAAACAGGTTATCGTCAGCAAAGACTAATTTCAACACAAGTGGTTTCATCTGGTAAGAGAAACATAGAGTTCTATCAGATGTGGAGATGTTCTAAGAGTGTTTTTAGACCAGAATTCTACGCCCAGAAAAAGTAATTTCTTCAACTTGTTTTTTTGGCAACATATTGACTATACAGGGTGTTAGAGAGATAATATTCGCAACTTTAGGAGGTGATTCGTTGCATTATTCTAAGCAAAAAGTTCATTACAACCTATGTCCGAAAATCAATCGTTTCGGAGCAAAAAAATGCTGAACTTATTTCCTTTTAGTCATGAAATAAATTAATGTTGCCCCTTAATAATTTAAGTTCATATACCTAATAGCATAAAATGTATCTATACATCTATTTATTAATTACCTGTCTCTAACAAAATAATTTTCTTGCTAATTAAATACAATTTTCCGAAGAAAAACAGACAAAAAAAATCCCTCACACAACTGGCAATGCCGTACTACGCCTGCACTGCATGTATCATCGCGTGTTGTTGTGATTACTAATACATTTAACTGTAACGTTATGTGATTTACGGATGTTTCTTTTTCTTTTTTCGTGCATCGCATCGTTTCAAATAATTGACTGATAATCCTGGGACTTGGTGGTGTCTATAGCCATGTACCGGCAAGCTCTGTCATTTTTTTAAGTAAATGTACTGTACTGAAAGCGTTATTAAATAAAAAATATTAGCCACAAAAAATTGCGTATTCAATAATTCAAGACATATTTTCAACAAAAATATCATACAAACGTAAACAATTCGATGAATCAGTTGCGGTCGTCGTGCGCGGTTGCATTGCAGCGTTGCCAAATGTTTGAGAAAATTTAATTATTTACGACTCGTTTTCCTCGAAAACGGTTGTTTTCCGGACATAAGTTATTATGACCTTTTCTGCTTAGAACAATGCAAGGAATCAAGTTACGAATATTATTTCCCTAACACCCTGTATTTAAAGCATACTGTGGCAACAATGTCAACGTTCTATCTTTGTTTTAGTTCACCTTTGTTAAAATGTTATCTCTTAGTTTTTGTGAAGAACGCAGTTTCTGAGAGCCGAGTAGTACAGATATTTTTAGTTATTGCTCTTTCATTTACAAGTGTTAAGCATAACAAAATGCCTCGAGTTCGAGTTTGACAGGGGTAGAATTATTGACAACGAGATGTTGGTTTGTCCGATCGCGAAAATGTTATTTTTATTATTGTACTGCAATGACGGTAATGCATGTGTGTCGTGTGTGAATAGAAGAAGGTCGAGGTACACGAAAAATGCCAACTGGTCCACCGAGGTGTACTACAGAGCATCAAGACAGGCGGTTCAGGCAACTAGCCCTACGTTATTGTTTTGCTACTACGTCTCAGATCGCTGATGGTTTGGAGAAGAAGGTAGACCTGTTACTATGCGTACACTCAATCGCTGCATTTGAGCCATTGGACTTTTTTCATACCTTCCATAGTTAATGCTTCCTCTGACTGCGGACCACTGACGTCATCGTTTGAACTGGAGCAGAGAATGGCAACATTGGGAGGCAGAATGGCATAATGTCATCTTCAGCGACGAATCGCGATTCTGTCTAGGTACGTACGATGGTCGTAGAAGGGTAAGACGCCGCCGTGGAGAACGACGAGATATTGGATTTACTGTTGAAAGGCATGTACCCAGGATTGTTGGAATCATGGTTTGGGGTAATATGACTGCTGCGCGTTACGTTGATGATGTCCTACAAACCACTTTACTGCCGTATCTAGAGAGCCGTCCACACGTCCTTTATCAGCAAGACAACGTACGTCCCCATATTGCTCGTCGTGTTACGGACTTTCTTCAAGAAACAGGTATTAATGTTTTGCAGTGGCCACCCCGTTCACCGAAGTTAAATCCCATCGAACATGTGTGAGATATGATGGGGAGGAGACTGCAACATCCGCCACAGACTGAGGAATGAGGTGCCTTAACCAGTCATCGCTCATCTCATTTTGTCGATGCCTAGATGTATACAGGAATGTACTCAGGTGCGGGGTCACCCAACGTATAATCAATTTTTTTTCTTATTACTTATCAATACAATTTCGTGAGAATGTTATCGTTTCATTCTTGGTATGAGACTACCTCATTGACAAAAAATCAAGTTGAAGAAATTATTCTTTCTGGGTGTAAGACTTCCAATGTCACTGAGTATATAATGATCCGGTGACAAGTTTTGGACCAAGTTTAGCTTTTATATAAAAATGTTCACTCGTTTAGTTAAAACATAGATTAGTATCACAATGTCTTCACTGCCTTAGGTCAAAACGTTCATTCCAACGCTACAGTGATTTGTATAGCAAACCCAAAATGGAATAATCACTTACCGGTATAAAGTTAATGAATTGTACACGTAAAAAAAATATTTGATATTGTGGTTTATATTTTTCGTAAATATGATCAAGTCATATTACTGTTGATAGTAATAGTAAAATAACACAAAACGTATATGTAACAAGATCCAGTTAGTCAACCATAACTACATAAGTATGAGTTTAATGATATTAACCTGAACCAACCTAAATGTCCCAGTTAGTAAAGTAGTAAGCAAGGAGTAGAAGTCCAAGCAAGACGTATGATTAAAATTATAATATAAAACAATCAAAATATTTAAAATGTCTAATTGTGCATAAGTTTCTAACAGCTTCATTTATAGACAATTGACATGCATGTCATATCAAAATACTTTTTCTTTGTAGGTAACTGAAAATAAATATCAGTCTCTGCAAATTACACTTTATAAACAAGTCATCTGACATGCTCACCTGTCGATACCTGCATAAGGAACTGTTAGAGAACTTGTGTTCACAATTAAGACATTTGTAACTACATTCAATATAACATACATGATGGACCGTAACATATGTGCAATCTTTTAGAATGGTTTGAAGTGTGACTTCGTCTTGTTAGAACACACACATACTTACACTGAGGAGGTGGTTTTTCGGTATCGTTAGAGTTAACTTGGTCGGGAGATTCTGGATAAAAAACAAAACAAAATGAAATGAAAATTATGAGGAACCAAACTGCGTGTAATATAAACACTAAATCAAAACAAAAAGAAGACCAAAATTAATGTCACAACATTTCAGAATTTGAATTTCTATTACATCATACAATTTTCGCGAATTACCATAGCTTTACTTGAACATTTTTTACTTTACTTTCACTTATGAAGCTTCAACATATTTCTTGTGCAAATGTGAATTTTTTAGAATTTCCCTCGTTGACATGAATATTCAAAATCATAAAGATCTTAACCCATCCGCAATTCTATTTTTCATTTAAAAATCTTTTCTTGGTATGCTAATTTTCGTCAGACTTAATTCAATAAATCATTACAATGATTGCCTCTTTCTTTCACTACGGGAATTTGACCATTGTTGTAGCAAAAGTTAAAACACCTTTCTGTTATTTTACTGTAACTTTTTCTAGTTTCCATCACATTTCATTTAGCTTAAATGTGCACATTATCCGAATGACAAGGAACAAGAACTAAGCATTTAATATTGTATTATATTGTGGCACTGTGCACTGTATACACCGATGAAGTAGATAGGTATATAGGGTGGAAATAAAATTATTAGAAAAGAGAAGGAAAGGTAACTGAATGAAAATACGATACACAAATGATAATGCTGAATTGAAATAGATGACTGGATGCAGAATACTTAAATATTTTTACTACTTACGTTCCTGGTCAGATCCGTCTTCAGATTTGTCATCTTTGCTCTTCATGAATGGGAATTTCCTACTGAACGAAAAGTTCTTCTTTTTCCTGTCTAGCGTAGATTGCTAAAATCAAAGACAGTACATATTAAAAAACGTTATTGGATGATGAAACTTATTTCTAAAAAATCAAGCCTAGCCTCAGGTAAACGCATCTGTCAAAAGAACCAATGCACTCATCAGACTTATGCAAATAGGTATGCCAAAGGTAGGATGTCGGCTGCTGTATAAGCTCCCAATACAGCATTTACTAACATAAAAGCATTCCACAACATTGCACACAAAATCATAAGATATTCCAAAAATAGTCCAGCGCTCCACAAAATTCAATCTATGCAGCATATCTTACGTTCAATAACAGTATTGGCACCAAATGGCAATCAAATGTAGAATAAACTTATACTTATAGTTGTGTTGAAATTGCCATCGTCAATGCGATCAAGAAATTAAAAAAATGTTTTCTATCGTGAATAATTTTGCAGAGGTTGAATACTTTTGGAAGTGTTAATGTAGAAAACAATTGTTTGCACAAAACATTTCAATCAATCACAAATCCTTACACGAGAGAGCGTTTCTGAAGAATGAGCTGGAGTCTGTAGGAAGAAATGACAGTAATCAAGTTGAAATTAATATCTAAGTTTTGCTAGCAAAATATAATAATTTTTACTTGAACGGCGATTTAAAAGTACAACAAACAAATGGTACTATAAAAGTTTTACAATACAGCTTTATTTATTGATTTCGTTCAAAGTAATTCCCACCACATTCAATACATTTCTCCATCTGGCAAAAGCAGTCCTTAAACCAGTTCTGCCAAGTTTCACCCGGAAGTGCGGCATACTCGTTGTCCCAAGCCCTCGGAAGGTCCTCATCGTTAGAAAGTCGTTTTCCTTTTCGCTTCATTTTCACTTGCGGAAACAGTGCCAGGTCGCAGAAAACCAGATCTGGACTGCAAGGAGGGTGCTCAATAAGTTTCAGTCCAGTAGTGGTCAAATACTCGGTGCAGGCTTTGGCGCGGTGAGCTGGAGCGTTGTCATGGTAGAGGTACCACGTGTCCATTCTTGACTTTGGCCGCCGGGTTTTCCTAGACTCTATGACTTTAGGCAGGCATCGTTCCGTGTACCACTTAGGTGTGACTATCTTCTGTGTGTACAAAACGACACGGTCCACAATCCCGCTCGATTTCAAAAATACATCTATCATTTTTTTCTTAACAGACCGGGCTTTTCTTGCAGCTACGGGTGTGTCCTCATCATCAAAGACTCAAACTTTGTGGGTCGGCACATCGTAAAAAAAGAGCCAAGTTTCGTCACCTGTCACGATGCTTTTACATACCGAGATTGCCCCTATCAAACATTTTTAGCATCTTTCGGCACCAAGTCGTACGACGAGCCTTCTGAACTTCCGTCAGAATTGAATAAATTGCTGGTGCATGAAGATGTAAGGTCTCCTCTATTTGTTGGTATGTCACTCTCCGGTCTTCGTCAACCAGTTTCCTCACCGCAGTAACGTTTTCCTCTGTTACTGACGTTCGCGGCCTTCCTTCACTCTCAGCGTCCTCCACAGTGAAATTGCCCCTTAAGAATTCTCTGTACCACCTGAATATAGTCATTCGATGAGGACAATCACTCTGGTCTATGCTTAAACCACACGTAGAGTTATACCGTAAAACTGTCCTTATCTCACTACGTGACCACGATGCCATAGTCCGCACTTTACACTATCAATACGAATGAACATCTAAACAAACAGACGTGCTGCTGGCGGCTACTATGCACTCATGGGCGTGTCTCAATATGCAGTAATATGCAGCCTCCTGCGTCCGTTTGTTAAGTCATATTGCAAAACTTTAATAGTACCCTTTGTACAATCTGAACAAGCTCCAAGTAATCCACATTGACCAAGGGAAAGTATGATATGGCACTGATGTTAAATTGTGCCAAAAATCAGTACAGTACGATGCAAAGGTCAAACTCTGAAGTTCGTGATCGTATAAACTACCCCAGCTTGTCGTCCCGTGCATATTTGTTCCAAATGTTGAAAACTTTCAAAATCGTTGAAAATAGTCTCAAACTCTGCTGATAGAAAAACTATCCAATTTGATAGCATTTAGCACATACAGAAATGACATTTCTGAGACTAACCGCGGCACTGTCGGGGAAGTACTGTAATCTCGGAAAATTTCTATAATGAGATATTATGTTTTTTGGATGGTACATGACGTCTACCAAGTCATTCATTTCCGTCAGTCTGTCTGTCCGCTAATCCTTGGGCCGTTTATAACTTGGAAAGTACCACTCGGATTTTGATCAAATTTTCACACAAGGTTACTTATAAGCCAAGGACGAAATACTTTATAGTTTTTGAAAATCCGTTTAAAATGGCGATAGAGCTAGGAGCAAAAGGCGAAATTAAATAATAATCGCTCAAACTCCGTTTTTGGACGTTTCAGAAACTCCTGATCGTCTTTGCAAAAATTTTAACATAATGCAAATTTCACATATATATTTCCCCGTATATTTGCCCTTAAGACCTGAACAACCGAGAAGAGGACATCAACGATACCCCGGAGATGTAACAATTGCGACAATAGTCAGATACGGTGACAACCCCCGATAGCACGAAGTATCCATTAAATATTTATTCAATATTTAAAAATATTTTTATCTTAATTAAATATATTTGTTATCTTCAACAAATGTTTAATAAATATTTGGATTTTAACATTCTTAATAAATACTTAATCAAATTGTTTTATTTATTTTAAACACAACATTGCTTTTATTCTAATATTTATCAAATATTTACTTTTCAATCAATGAAAAATATTTAAACTCCATTATTTAGAAAATATTGCATTGTGTGTACCTTCAAGTGGTATTTGTACATTATTTGAATGTTTCTTCGTGCAAAAAGGTAAGTTTTGCGATAATTGCTTAGCTTAATTTATCTGACTAGTAAACACTAATGTACCAGTCGAGTATAAAAGGTGTTTACAAGACCATAAATGACAAGGCCTTGAAGTGTGGCAGAGTTATTTGCGATAAAATATAAAAGGACCAACATACTTCTTATAGGACTTTGGGATTGGTGGATTTATCTGAAAATTTATAAGACAATTATATTCATAACGTCCCAATGAAAAGTCACCACAATCACAACTTTATCCAGATACATCAAAAATGATTTTTTAAATATCTCAATATTATCATTTAATAATTGATTTTACTGACAGTTGGCAGTTGTGTTTTTGTCTTAGTACGAAGAAAATCAGCTATAACTATTTTAAAATTTTAAGTTCAACAGTGACGTTCCACAAATTTTAGCAATCGAAAATACTATATTTTTTGTCTATTGAATTATAACATCTCAAAATAGTTATAGCTAAATTAGCACCCTACTACTGTAAAAGTCACATTTCAGCAAAACCAATAAGTGGTCCATCTATAAAAACATTTTTTTAGAAAGCTATTCTAAGGATTAAGTTGTGTCCATGGACATTATTCATCAAGATATTTTTAACATCCCAAATTTTCATAAAAAATGCCAAATCTCGAATTCTCATAAGACGTACGAGTATATGCCGAGTCCTTTTAGGTGCATTATAAAGCTGCTTTTATACTCGGAGTAACTCAACAGTGCTTAGCAGCCATATTGCTCCACTGCATTTTATATTCCCATGTATACACTTTTTAGGGCAGTTCAGGAGAATACCACTCTCAAACTAAAAATCCACTTGAAAGCATCTTACGTATACTAAGTGACATATAAATCCGAACACCCAGTTTAAATGGTTTTATTTTAATAAAATTTTGTATAAGTACTTGAAGCATAATAAGTAAATGATAAACATTTCAAAATGATCGCACTGCTTTAAAGCACTTAGACCTTTAATAATGTGTGGATGCACCCTGATGTGCTACGCATTCTCCAACGCGCCTAGGCATGCTTCTGATCAGGTGGTCAATGTCCTCCTGCGATATCTCATTCCAGGCAACCACCAACTCCTCTCGAAGTGCTTCTAGAGTCTGAGGAGGACGTTGCAAATTGAGCAATCTCCTACCCATCATATCCCACACGTGCTCAATTGGGGATAAGTCGGGAGATCTTGGTGGCCATGGTAACAATGTGACATCATTATGTTGAAAGAAGTCTATTGTGACTCTTGCAACATGTGGTCGGGCATTATCTTGTTGGAAAGTTGGATCTGCCAGGGTGTCAAGATAGGGTAAAAGATGGGGTTCTAGAACTTCGTGGATATAACGCTGCGCGTTCATGTTACCTCTGATGAAGATTAAAGGTGACCTGGAACCATAAGCTATAGCACCCCAAAGCATAACTCCAACAGTGTGATGAACATGTCTTTCAACAAAAAACTGTGGATTCCTCTTTTCACCACGTCGCCTTCTAACCCTGGCACGACCATCGTGCATGCCTAAACAAAATCGAGACTCGTCACTAAAGACAATACTGTTCCATTCCTGATCCCAGAGTGACCGTTGTCTGCACCACTCAAGGCGATTACGTCGGTGTTCTCGAGTTAAAGGGAGGACCCAGTGTGGCCGGTATGAAAACAAGCCAAAACTTTTCATTCGTCGGTAAACACTTCGCATGCCAATAGGTCTTCCGTGTTCTGCAAACCATTTATTTGCAATGGACCTGGTAATGGAGAAACGGTCCCTTAAGGCCAATAATCTTAGGCGGCGATCTTCACGGTCTATTGTTCTACGGTGGCGTCCAGTGCCCCTTGCTCTTTGCGTACGGCCTTCTCGAAGCCATGCCTGACAACACCTAACCACAGTGTCTACACTTTTTTGCACTCTAACTGCAATTGCCCGAAAAGAAAGTCCAGCTTCCCGAAGTCCCACTATACGGCCCCTATCAAACTCACTAAGTTGACGAAATCGTACAGGCCTCCGTACTCTAGGCATCGTAACCGATCGTAAAGGATGTCAAGAACCAAAATCTGTCAACGTTGATTCTTTACTGCGGCTGAAATATTCATTTTTAGAGCGTTAGTGAATTAAAAAAAAGCAGTATAAAAACCGGAATGTCCAACTGATAAGGCTGAAAATTTTTTCACTTGTTATTTACAGTAAGATAAATACATTCACCAACTTTTATTAAAATAAAACCATTTAAACTGGGTGTTCGGATTTATATGTCACTTAGTATATCTAATAATACTTCATAAGTTTTTCTTTCACGGAAATGGATTTGCAAGATTTAGAAGAGGTCTAGAGTATTTTAATGATAATTTTCTAGAAAATTAAATTTATTAAATATCAGATATTTCATCAAAATATAAAACATATATAAAAATTTTTCCTTATATATTTTCAAAATATTTGGAAAAATATCGTGAAAATATATAAATTATATATACCACAAATATCTAAAATGAATATTTTATGAATATATAAAAAACAATTTATTAAATATTAAAAAATCTGTCGCTACAAATATTTAGCAAACGTTTTTTAAAAATATTTAATAAATATTTCATGCTATCGGGCACATTAGGGCTGTTGTTATTCTAGTATGAAATAACAAATCGACGTTCACCAGTCTTCTGCACCTTCTTCTCAAGCAAACAATTTCAAGGGTATACGAAAGCTGTCCTCCATTATATAAAAAAAATGCTGACGATACTTTTGGTTTAATCACTTTCATTATATTACGTTACCAGCTGTGAGGACTCGCATAGCTGGTCAGTAGTAAGCATACCAAGTTGATTCAGATGCATATCCATTGTAGTTAATAGTCCATAATTTAAATTTCTGTCAAATCATCAATACTTTTTTCACTGACATTCATTCTACTTTACGGCCTTCTGCCACGGTACAAGAATTTCCATAGCCGGCGAACAATAAAGATACCACAGCGTATAAAAGTTGACTCGGATACTTCTCATGATGCATACACAAAGTCCGTTAGCTCAGATTTGCATAGGCAGTTCAGAGTCAACCTACTTGAAGCCTATTTTATCTACTTATTTTTGTTGGAACTGGTAAACAGCTCTCGGTATTTTTGCAATTTAAATTATTTTCAGTAGCACCAACTTAACACTAGAAAATTAAAAAAATAATATCCACTAACCTTCTCTAGTACGTTCGCCCCAGCCGCATGTCCTTGGAACTTGACGCTTCTGTCTCTAGCGCGCTGTTTCCGTTCCCATCTTCGCTTTGAGGGCACTATGCCCACAACAGGTTCCTCTCCGTTGGCCAGCACCCTGCGAGCCTGCCACCATTCATCGTCGCCCGCGTTGGTCACGTGCAAAATGTCACCGTGATGGAAAGCTAGGCCGCGGGACGGTAGGCCGTCGTCTTTTAAAGGGTCATAATCGAAGAGGGCTCTGAAAGGAGACATCACTGTTAGGGTCACGAGTCATATTCATCGTAAATATACAATCTAAAATTCTGGTCATCATCTGGGATCAAGGGTATTGACATTAGAAACATTTAATATAATATTATTCAGAATGTTTGTTTAACATTTATTCAGCATGATTGCTACAATTAAATTATTTTAAAAAACTAAACAATTACAAAACATAATGATATCTAGAAAAAACAAAATTTGCATCTCTAAGAATGTTCACTGTCCATGAAATATTCCCTTAATTTTCTTTTAAACGTCTTTAAATTACACGTAGACTTTATATCATTATTCAGTTTATTAAATTCAAGCAATCCTTTCTGAAATATTGATTTGCTAGTTTTATTACTATTGCAATTTTGTAAATGAAAATCTATATTTCCTCTTGTGTAATCATTGTGGTAATAATTATTCAATTCTATGTAGTGTTCTAAATGTTGAGACAAAAGATGATATTTTATCTTAAATATAAAAATAAGAACCAAATATGATATGAAAATTTTTATATTCAACCACTGCAATTCTTGTAACATAGATTTTATTTTGAACCACTTAAAATATTATTTTATTTTGCAGGACTTGTAATTTTTAGAATACAGCTTCATTGGCAGTGATCAAGATAGTTGAACAATATAGTATATGCGGTAGAATAATAATTGTATGATAAACTGTTTTTTGGAATATGTACCAAGACTATGAGAAGTTCTATAAAAGTAATTTTTTTTTGACAATTTTTGAAATAATGTATTCATAGAGATCCTCAAACTTTAGTTTACTATCAATATATATATATATATATATATAGATATACATAAATATTTATTTGATTCAACATTTTTAATTATTTCACCATTTATCCTAACTTTCATTTTGAGATTTCCCTATTAGCATACATTTTGTTTTAGAAGTATTTGATTTCAGTTTATTTACATTTAACCAATTTATGATTTTTGCCAATTTAGTATTTAGCATGTTTAAAGCAGTGCCTGTATTTTCATCTGATATGTATATTAAAGTATCATCCGCAAATATCTGAATTTTACAATAATCTAAAATATTACAGATGTCATTAATGTATAAAATAAATAGTGGTGGCGCTAGTTTACTACCTTGTGGTACACCCACAGAAATATTTTTTGAACTTGATAATGTAGATCCAATTTTGGGTTTTTGGAATTTTAAATCTGTAGTGATGCAGTTTTTTAAATAATTTATCGCTGTCAATAGTCTCAAACGCACTGCCAAAAACACTGTCACTGTGTGCTTCATATTGTCCATACAACTCCTGCAGTAGATAGTCTAAAACCATTTGTATTGGCGTTTCAGTTTTTTTCACATTACAAGTATAGATAAAGAGTATCTAATAACTAAATATTTCATTCTTTTAAAAAAATAATTTAATTCAAATTTAGCCAATTCATATCAATTAAAGAAGCTCTTATAATTCTTCCTGAATTCAGCTTGAAATTTGGTTAATTTTTTTTCTTCAATAAAATCGATGATCTGTTCCTAAATATACTTTTTCCTGGCAGAACATTTATTGGCCGCATATTGGTGTACAACCGAGAATTCCTAACTTCCAAAACAGGAGTTATGGTAGAACTCTTCAGTTTTGTTGGAAATTCGCCATATTTTAAACGTGAAATTTAAAGAAATAATTGATTATAATGAATATGCTCAAAGACATGGTCGAATTTGGCGCTAACACTAAACGTCAGCGCAAGTTGCAAAACTTATATTTCTCCACTTTGGCGGTGAATAGAAATACTCTAAAAACTCAGCAAAACGTAAGTCACAACGGTATGCATAACCACACAGTTCACGTTTGAACCAAAATTGCTTTATCCAGATTCTAAACAAAATTTAAGCTTTAATGCAATAATGAGCAATCATATATATGCTAAATTGCTTAATGGACCCCTCACTCTCATATACCAAAACTTGATTTTGGAGTACGGGCAAGCATTGTTTGAGTCTCTACTTAAAACAGTTACTGTGGTAGCAACAACTTAGTAATATCATTCACTTATCAGGGGCTTCATATATTGGCCAGACAAACAGTGGGAGACTAATCGTAGAGACAACCACGGGAAAAGTTTCATTAATTAGATTTCATCCTTTTTTTGTGAATACCCAGGAAAGGAGAAAGAAATAAATTCCATTACAACTGAAAAGGTACTTTCAATAAACCATATATTATCTCTTGTCCTATAAAATTCGCCCACTGAGAAGTAACTGTTTACATTTCTATTTACTATAGATACTATAGATTGTCAAAAATTAGTGAGTCAGTCGTGTAATGCAAACTGATGCAATTCAGCAACCATTGTTAAAATATGAGAAATCGAACAACGAACGACTGATGTAGTAATAATAAAGAAAACGTAAAATTTTAGTTATTCATATTCCCATTCTGTTAGTGAAAAACATAGCTAAATAGGCATACATACATGTGGTGATTAATACAATATTTCTGGACACGTCACACGGACATTATTTGAATAATATTACCATATAATCAGTCATCAACCTGTTACCTCACAATGAATACATGCATATTTTGCTACAGTTATCATAGAATTAAACAAATACATATCTATTTTTGTCATATGGTTGAAATACGTCATACGTTAATTAAGCTATGCTTGTAAAATCATCAAATTTATTCCTCTTAGGAAGTAGTGTAGATCATACGAAGCATTGGTTTCAAACCATACCTCATTTATTTACTTCTATTCTTACCTGACGTAAAGCGTCCTTTTTTGTGAAGTTCTAATCAACGTTCCCCCCGTAACTGGGTGGGCCATCTGCTGTTTCAGGTCATGGATTTTTGCTTCAAAGCGATTGTATTCTTCTGGTTTGTATTGTACAACAACTGTTACGGTTTGGTTGGTACCCTGCAACAAAAACAATAATGTTTAGATGACCAAAGTTAATAATACTGAAGAAAAGTATATCGGCTAAGCCCATAATCTCTCCTGAAACAGGATGTGAGCATTATTGAAATAAAAAAACGAGCGAGCTATAATATCTACTCAATGATTTCTTTGGTATAGTTTTTGTTTGTCTTATCTCCGCAATTTCCACAGCAAATCATGTTGAAAATTTGTATGAAGTCCGGAAATGCCATCCCTAGTCGACTACCTAATTAGTCTAGAGAATTGGTAATTGAAGTGGCAGTCGTGTTAAGGCGGGTTTACATGCTACGTCTTATTGTACGTTTTGTAGGACATACAAAACGTACGTTTTGTCCAGCATACAGAACTCTTGAGTTGTGAGAAGTTTGTTTAGCGAACTTTTTTGAGATTCATTTTTTATTACGGAGGAAACACGGCTGCTTTCTTTTCTTTTTTTAACTATACAACGACTGAGAGGAAAAGGGATGAAGAGGGAAAAGACAAGATGGTTAGGGGAGTGGCTTCTGAAAAGAAGCCAGTATTCGAGCGTCTCGTTATGGAAACAACCGAGGAGCGAACCTCATGACTGGCGCAATTATTTGCAAATGAACACCTCAGCCTATTGTCAATTCCTAGACTTAGTAACAGATATTTCAGCTCTTTTTTATAAACCGATCTCAACGAATCTATTTACCATCGGGTTTATTTATTTGTATTTTTTTATAAGATCCTCATAAGCGACGTTTTTTTTATTACGGTCACTATAGTCGTTATTTTTCACTCGCCACAAACACGAAAAACTTTTATACATTTCAATGAATTTCCCGGGAAAATCGTGGGTGCATGGCCGCAAGTCTGACATTATTAGCTTTTTTGGGGAAAAAGGAAGCGAACTGAAGTGGAGCTACTCGTGAACTGAGCCAAGATCGGAGATCTTGTCTGAACATGAGTCTACATGTTTCGTTCTCGCAAAATGATGCTTCTCCCTTCAATTTTTCAATCTGTCCTTGGATTTCATTTCGATTCGACAAGACGTACGTTTTGCTATTTGCACGCCACGTTTTATTGGTTAGGATTTTTCCTATCAAACAAAACGCACAATGATACGTAGCGTATAAACCCGCCTCTAGCCATAGCGAAGAAAACAAAGGAAACATTTTACTGTCAGATTTAAGTCAGCAATTTTGCCATCGAGGGTTGTTAGTTAGTTTTTAGTTAGAGTCATGCCGATTTGTAAATTTACGGACTCAATATATTATTTAGCTATTTATTAAAAGAATCCAGGGTTTTCATGTAACATTTACATAAATCGTTTCAGCAACTGGTTACTGCATATTATTCATTCGTTTTTGACCATTCATATCCCGCGTTATCGTGTAAGTTATACATACCAAATATCTCACTGGAGAATCTTAACACAATGCAATTACATCAAAGATTTCATCAGTTTTTATCGTATTGAATCAGACTTAACGTGAGCGTCAGACAGTCTAGTGAAGCTACTGATTATCTTTGTCAATATGTGGATAAACTTGATTGATAAGAGTCACTTATCCAAACATCTTAAGGTTCTCTTAGAGGTACAGAGGTAGATGAGATGAGAGGTAGACGCAGGTGAGCCATGGCTTTCAGCGTTCGAAGCTACACGTTTTGATACGATGAGTAATATTACGTCATTTAACGTATGTGAATAATATACTAAGTGACATATAAATCCGAACACCCAGTTTAAATGGTTTTATTTTAATAAAAGATGGTGAATGTATTTATCTTACTGTAAATAACAAGTGAAAAAATGTTCAGCCTTATCAGTTGGACATTCCGGTTTTTATACTGCTTTTTTTTAATTCACTAACGCTCTAAAAATTAATATTTCAGCCGCAGTAAAGAATCAACGTTGGCGGATTTTGGTTCTTGAAATCCTTTACGATCGGTTACGATGCCTAGAGTACGGAGACCTGTACGATTTCGTCAACTTAGTGAGTTTGATAGGGGCCGTATAGTGGGACTTCGGGAAGCTGGACTTTCTTTTCGGGCAATTGCAGTTAGAGTGCAAAGAAGTGTAGACACTGTGGTTAGGTGTTGTCAGGCATGGCTTCGAGAAGGCCATACGCAAAGAGCAAGGGGCACTGGACGCCGCCGTAGAACAACAGACCGTGAAGATCGCCGCCTAAGATTATTAGCCTTAAGGGACCGTTTCTCCACTACCAGGTCCATTGCAAATGAATGGTTTGCAGAACACGGAAAACCTATTGGCATGCGAAGTGTTTACCGACGAATGAGAAGTTTTGGCTTGTTTTCATACCGGCCACACTGGGTCCTCCCTTTAACTCGAGAACACCGACGTAATCGCCTTGAGTGGTGCAGACAACGGTCACTCCGGGATCAGGAATGGAACAGTATTGTCTTTAGTGACGAGTCTCGAATTTGTTTAGGCATGCACGACGGTCGTGCCAGGGTTAGAAGGCGACGTGGTGATAGGAGGAATCCACATTTTTTTGTTGAAAGACATGTTCATCACACTGTTGGAGCTATGGTTTGGGGTGCTATAGCTTATGGTTCCAGGCCACCTTTAATATTCATCAGAGGTAACATGAACGCGCAGCATTATATCCACGAAGTTCTAGAACCCCATCTTTTACCCTATCTTGACACCCTGGCAGATCCAACTTTCCAACAAGATAATGCCCGACCACATGTTGCAAGAGTCACAATAGAATTCTTTCAACATAATGATGTCACATTGTTACCATGGCCACCAAGATCTCCCGACTTATCCCCAATTGAGCACGTGTGGGATATGATGGGTAAGAGATTGCTCAATTTGCAACGTCCTCCTCAGACTCTAGAAGCACTTCGAGAGGAGTTGGTGGTTGCCTGGAATGAGATACCACAGGAGGACATTGACCACTCGATCAGAAGCATGCCTAGGCGCGTTGGAGAATGCGTAGCACATCAGGGTGCATCCACACATTATTAAAGGTCAAAGGGCTTTAAAGCAGTGCAATAATTTTGAAATTTTTATCATTTACTTATTATGCTTCATTAAGTACTTATACAAAATTTTATTAAAATAAAACCATTTAAACTGGGTGTTCGGATTTATATGTCACTTAGTATACATACATGAGCTTGATGTCACTGATAACTTTTGGGGCTTAAAATCAACAATGGCAATGATTTAGCGGATCAAAAATAGTATATAAAAGCTTTCGCATTATCAAGTTATAAAACAGTGTTACCGAAAAAAATAATTAAAAAGTGCATGGAGGTGGTTTTCCTTCGATTTTAGCCGACAAACTACCACCCATTATTAATAAAATGGTAGCATTGGTCTGATTTGAATTGCCTGACTAAAGGCTGGCATAGACATTCGCGGTACTAGTACGTTTTATTTGTACAGTCTTAAATCGTCTTAAAGATACAGTATGTGCGTGTGTGTGGAAACATATCGTTGTCGCGTTTCATCAATTGTTTGGCAAGAGTAAGTTGATTTTTGCGAGTGTACCAACTCGCAAAGAGAAAGTGTATGTATGAATGCTTGACGACCACATGACGTCGGACTCAACAAACGCTACATCCTATAATGACGACTTAGTTGCAAGTAAAACGTAGGAGTAGCATGCGTGTCTATATTGTTAGCCTTAAGAACAAGAACAAATGATGTTAACTTCGCTTTATTAATTATATTTACCTGACGTGGTGTACATGGTGTTTTTTGTTCAAAAAAATAATACAGTCAAAAAAGTTCAGATCTTCCAATAGCTGAAGGCTTTAGATGTTAAATAACTCGGTTTCTATAGAATCAAAATGAATTTTCCAAATTTCTAAAAAGCATATACATACCTTAAGAGCCATGGCGGCCTCCTCATGGGTGGCATTCCTAAGATTGACGCCATTGACGCTGAGGATCTGGTCACCTCGGCGCAGCTCTCCGCTGAGGTCCGCTGGACCTCCGGCCAAGATGAATGAGATGAAGATACCCTCTCCATCTTCACCGCCTACGATGTTGAATCCTAGACCGGAACCGCCTTTTTGCAGAGTTACTGTACGGACCTCTCTGTAACAAAAAAGATGCAGGTTTAGTCACAGAATGATGTTGGAGAAACGTTTAGCAGGTGAGGTTAGAGATCAGAGATCAAAGTATAAAGGCTCATTGCCGCCTCACGGGAGCAGGACTCGACCAATGGGCAGGCTCTCGCTTTTGCTGTCATCATTAGTTTCAGCCAGGGTTGAAAAAAATATTTTTAAAAAATGTTTTTTTTTTTAAACTGTTTTTTTTTTGTTTAAAACATTCAAAATATAGCATCGTTAATCAAGTTACTTGAAAGTGTTGTTACTATTTTTGATCCAGCTCTATCAGAGCACTTCGCTAATTTAAAAGCGGACGTCGGGAAACTACCGTGCCTTTGGGTAATTTTTCGTGTTGCGATCTCCAGCAGTCAAATGTGCGAAGTCGTAGCTTGGTGGTGTGTTTTGTTTTTTGTGCATTAAAGATCGCCAAAAAAAGGCAATGACAGTGAGGAGAAAGGATCCCGTGTGGAAATATTTTAAGGAGACAGATGCCAAAGCTGGCTCGAAAATAAATAAAAGAGCAAAATGTTTAATCTGCAATATGGATATAGATAGTGCCACTGGTGCCTAGAATGCGCAAGTATATTAAAAATTGTAAACAACTTAAACAAGGAAGTTTGTTAGAAAAACAAAATATTCATATATCAGATAGTTCTGATACCGACAATGATGATGTTTCTACCGAACCTATTTCCTCAAAGTTGAGTAGCTTGGAGAATTGTGAAAAAGGTACATTTTTTTTTACTAGCAGTTTCGTAAAAAGTAGTGAAAACAAAAAATTTATTCTATGTACATTTTTCATGATTTTATATTTTAAAATATAGATTTAAGGTTTTTTGATTTCCTGTTAAATAAGATGGGTTGTATACTTTTATAGAAGTTTAAAACACGTGTTTTAAATATTGTTTAAAACACTTGTTTTAGGCATTTTGAGCAAAACATAACAACCGTGGTTTCAACTCAAACCCTTTTAAGCTGTCTTTATCATTATATAATACAAGTATGTTCAACACAACAGCAATATATGATAATTGAACCAGTTATTATGTTTTAGCGATAGGTTATATCGACGCCATTTACAGAAGCTCTGCCAATAATACAAAGGACTTCTTACTTTATAATTTTCCTACACAACTCTACCACAATCAACGGATTTCTGGACCTGATGGCTCGAAAAAGTGAAATTTCTTTGAAACGACAGCTACGATGTTTTTATGCATGAATGGGACCAAATTGGACCACAAATAACTCAAAATCTCTATACCACGATGGCTTCAGGCCATAACTGATACAAATGGTATGATAACTGTAAATACATTTTGGTAACACTTATTTACTTAGTGTGCCAATCTTTTTTTGACCATTGAATACGAGTATAATAATTTCTATTATTATTATATTTTTAATTTGCTCAATTTATTGCCATCAAAAATGACTGTTTGGATGTTCGTTTTCCAATAAATTTAGTATAAAAATGTTTGTCTTTTTGTTATTGAGATTCATGTAAAAAATAGGGTGTGTCAATCCTTTTTTGACCGTCACTGTAAATTTTGTAAATTGAACAGTCAGTATTACCTACTGTCAGTTTTTTGTTAATGAAAATATATAGACTCATAGTGACATCGTATGTAATGTTTTATTTTCATACATATCCATTGCCATACTCCCTAACGAGCGTACGGCACAACATGTGTCGCTTAATTTCGGGCCTATACATAGACGAAATAATATATTGGCGTATAGTATCCTCCACGCAACCATTAATCCTTATTCCCGAGAGATGTCAGACTAGTCCAGCTCTCGGGAGAATTTAAATGGCATTTTTATGGTGTGTGTTTTTACGTTATTACATGCCAAACTGCTACTCCTTCGATTATGATGATTATACTTCCGGGGTTGCAATGTGATATTTGTAATTCTAACGGTTTGTTATAATATAGGTTGTCTAAAAGTACTACTTAACAAGAAAAAAATTGAGCAAGTAGGCTGAATCTGAAAAAAGAATACATTTTTTTTATATTTTATGACACGTTATTTTTCCGAATCATATTGGAAATATTCTGAAATCCTGTAAAACATTAATATTTTCAGGTAAATAAATAGTGTTGTGGCTAGACATAGGGCAAGCTACCTGACGGTATTCTTTTAAAGGCTAAAGCGTTCAGTCAAATAATAACTTTGGCTTAGTTTAAGATAATACGAGTTACTAAGGCATTACATGGTAACACATAATTTGATTTCATAGAGTCTAGAAACTTAACTTGACATTTTCTGCAGTTTTTTTATAACTGCAAAACTAGACATCCTCTTATTTTTGACTCGTTATTGACTCCCAGTCACAAAAGGGCTGTGTTACACCTTTAATGTATCCATAGGTATCAATGCCTGGAAGGTCGTAGCTCAAAAACGTATAACCTTTTTACAGTTTACTTTTTTTTATTTGAAAGGTAACTTAGTCAAGAGCGCACTCGGCTATGACACAAATAAATATGTTTTGCTATCTGACAGCGGCGATTTTCAAATATTATAATTATAATAGTGGCTTTATGAAGCACTCTGTCAACAAATCCATAACTGCGTGATGTATCCAACTCGATGAAACTGTGTGTTGTTTTTTAGAGATTCACTGTCAACCACCCTACTACTTCTAATCCCACAAATTCCAAACATATAAATCTGACAATAAAAGCTATCTCGATGAGAGGGGACAGCTTTATATGAAAAGAAATTCAATATTGCCGTAAATGGATGTCTGTCCCGAAATATATAACGAAAGAGTCTCTTTCGTCGCCAAAGCTGCTATGAAATACGAAATCCGAACAAACTATTAGAAAAATCTCAGTGGAGGAAAATTGAAAACTTAAACGGTTTTCGTTGGCAGGGCTTCCTGGATAGAAAGGCGGCCCTGGGAAAAGGTGCGCGTCACTTTTGGCGACTGCTAAGCTCTAAATCCTTTCAGCTTATACGAAATACACTTATAGTGCAGTTAGTTGGATGGGGGAACAGAAGAAAAGTGAAAAAGAGATAAGCCAGCTTTAACAATAAAAAAAGAAAAAAGACGAGGTTTGTTGGAAAGATTTTGCGCGAGATATTAACAATGAGTCAGACAGCGTGAAAGGGTGTTTCTACTAGTGAAAATGCCTCCAACAGTATTTTTAGGAACTTGTTTGATTAATAAAAATTTACCGACAGCTGAAGACGATTATGAATTAATGACACTAATCTGCCCTGAACTAAGGAAGTCAAAGTACAGGGTTTTAGTAAAGTGACTGGCCAAACTTTTAGAAATTATTCTTTAGGTGAATGGAAAAACGCTTTCTTCAAGTCACAAATGACAGCCATGATGCCATCTATATCCCCGATTTAAGTCGGTTAATTGTTGTCTTTAAAGGGTTCATGTTTAATTGGCGCAGGTATTCAATCGAGGTTTATTCGGAGACTTTATTAACACCCTGTACGCTTGGGCTAATGAGCATATCGCTATAATACTTGTAATTCATTTTTGTACCAATAGATAACTGGACCTTGAATTTTATGCTATTTACCTTTTAACACATCTATTCAACCTTAATTTAGTGCTTTGTTAGTCTATTGAATAAATACGTCGTAATATTGCAGATATAATTAAACAGTATTTCAAGTAACCTCTCAGTGCTCTGGGGTTGCACATACAAAATGGGCCTAAAAAAAAGAGAAAGTGCAGAAAACATTTAGATATTAAAATGTCTCTACACTTTTCATGTTAATCGGCAGTTCAGACACTATAATTTGGGTAGATCTGTGTTATTTTCGATAAACGTAATATGTCATATTTTCTTATAATATTGAACTGAAGTACTGAAATAGACGAGAGACATACTACGTTTTAAGACCGTTGCTGGTTTACCGGAACCATATCTTGGATGGTTTTATATCTCACATACAGTAATGGACAAATTAATATTATGCTGTATTTCTTTTTTAACTTGTTTTATTAATACACCAACTTGTATACATAATTCGTTATAGCATAATACTCACTTATACATAAATAAATTCATTAGACTCCCTTCAATGAAAAAATTAATTGAAAAACACTGGAACTATGAAAGACAAAAATATATAGACAAAGCAAAACAATTATAGAAAAAAGAAGCAAAGTTCATTGAATTATAGAAAACCAACCATGCTTGTGTTAATATTTTGTAGCATAACCTTTATTATCAATCACCGCCTGGCATCGTCTCGGCATAGATTATAGAAGTCTCTTGATATAAGCGGCAAAAAGTTCATCCATTGAATAATTTTTATCTCGTATTTGCTTATCTAAGTATTTCCAGAGATTTTCAATGGGGTTTATATCGGGAGACTGTGAAAGCCAGTTGAGAACTGGTTTTTTTTTATCCAGAAAGAATTTCTTTGCGAGACTTGAAGTGTGCTTCGGGTCATTATCTTGCTGGAAGATTGATCTTAAGGGCATATCGTCTTCCATATAGGGTAACATGACATGCTTTAGTATGTCTGTGTATACAAACTTATCCATAATGCCATCTATTATATGTAAAGGTCCCATCCCAAACCCCGAAAAGCACCCCCAAACCATAACAGACCCGCCTCCATGTTTGACAGTGGGCAAAGTGTACTCTTTGTCCACTAGGACGTCTAACGTAATGAAGACCATCTAATCCAAACATAATGAACTTGGATTCGTCACTGAAACATACCCTCTTCCAGTCACAGATGCTCCAATCAACATGCACATTTAGGTTAATATTCATATTTGTCTATATACTTTTGTCCATTACTGTATATATCACTCTATAGCCGTTCTTCAGCAGCAAAGGAACAACATGGGGATTCTGCTTACAGCCTATGTTGTGTTTGTAATATCTTCTTTTGAATCTGTCGACAGATGCAGACCTACTAGTATTGCTAATAGTCTTGAGATTAACGTAAGCTTTTCTTGTATTTTTCATGTACATAGGGCTCCATTGTCTGGACGATTCC